GGCTGCCTCTTCAGAAGGTCAGCTCTGTATGGGGACTGTCTTGATTTCTTGTAATTCTTGTAACCCCTGCAGCTCACCTAAGGTCAGTGAATATTTACTTAAAGACTGATAGCCGCTTATGGCCATAGGGAGAGTACCCCATTTCCTGGTATGCCATTCAAGGCCACCCATTAACACCCAATTTATAGTACCTTTCTGGCTTCCACCCCACCACCTCTTCTCATGAACCCAGAGCTCCACCCACAGCACAGCCCTTAGCACAGCAGGACTTTTCACTCCTCCATGCTTTTGTCTGTGCCATTCTCTCTGCCCAAAATTCCCCTTCTTCATTTTCCAACCTGGTGAACTCCTATGCAGCCTTCAAAGCCCAACCCAAATATTCCTGTCCTGCAGAATAGGAAGCATAAACGTTAGGGATTTAGACTAGGATTTAAATCCTGTCCCCCACACTTCCTAGCTGGGTGACCTTGAGCAAGTTACTTCCCTGCTCCTGATCTTAGTCTCTTTCTCTGCAAAATGGGATTACTAATGCTTACTCTAGTGGGCCATCCGTCTTGCCAGCTAGCCTTTTCTCATGGCACTCTCTGGAGGCCTGACAGGTGCCTCTGAGCCCTGGGCACTCTAGCAGTCTCTGAGAACGGACAGCAGTTTGGTGAGCATCTATTTATTTGGCTGCCAGCAGCCACTCCCCTCCTTTGGCTAGCCCACGTGATTTCCCTCCAGGAAGGAACCTGCTTACCTTCCATCCACATGTTTCTGATAAGCATCCTTCTCCCACAGCGGCTGGGATAGACATGTGACCAGGCCTAGCCAATCGGAGCATCCCATCCCCTTCTGCCACAACAACTGGCTCAGAGGTCGACACCAGGTGACCCAATTCCAGCCAATATGACACATCCTTGAGACCCTGCCTGGCATTATCAGTAAAAGAGCCCTTCCTTTGGACTGAGGGAGCTAAAAGTGAGGCAACCATAGAGAAAAGCCAAACCCAGAGCTGGAGACATGGTTTCAGCCCCTGGATCCACCCATTTTTGAAGGCAGCCACATCTGGCTTAAGTGGGCAGGAGTTGAGATGTCCGCCCTGAGACACTGTCCTCTGGGTGGCTCCCAGTCTCTGGTTCCTCACTTGCTGTTGAGGGCCGAAGAGCCATGACTGAGAAAGGAGCATGCAGAGTCCCGGACTGGGGCCCCGCTGTGCAAGGGAGAGGAGGGAGAGTCTATGGGATGGGGTCCTGCAGGGGGCTCAGTGAGAGGCAGGGGACATGGGGCACCAGGCGGGTGGGGGTGGTGTAGAGGGCAAGATGCCTGCTCCAGCCTCCTCTGGCTACCCCGCAGAGATCCCTGGCTTTTGCACTGAGGGGCCACTGCCGGGTCCTCGAGGGACACTGCTCAGCTCCAAGCCTCACTGACCCACCTGAGTCCTGGCACCCCAGCTCCCTGACTCCCCAGTAGTCATTGGGCATTTCTGCATTTATTCTGTGTAGAACCAAAATACCGTTTTTTTCATTAAAAGCAATGGCTGCCTTGGGACTACTATGTTGCCTGGCCGCAGGGGCACCCTATCAGACACGCTGCATTTAGACTGTACAGTTGTCTCTGTGGCCCAAGTCCCCAGGTGCTGTGGTGCCAGAGAAGGAAGGGCATGGAGAGGGAGTAGGAGGGAGAGCCAAGGTCCCCACCTGAGCTTCCTGAGTCCTTCCCCATCTGGAGACTTTACAGGAAGGATGGTAGGGGAGAAGAACTCTGTGAGCACACATCACCCTTGGACCTCAGACAGGGAGCACTGGACCCCAAGAGAAGAGCTTGTGGCTGGAAGAAAGGAAGGCCGCAGTCCAGCCTGGAAGGAAGGGCGGGCTCCACTGGGAATAAGCACCCCCCCCAACCTCTTTGGTACTCTCCCTTCCCTGCCCCCAACCCCAGGTCTCCCGGAAGTGGACAGAGAGTCTCCTCACAACATCAGGGAAGATGCTCAACTCCTGCAAACCTAGAAAGTGGGTCCAGCCCCTCCCCGTGCCACCGCTGTGAACCAGAGGTAGGAGATTTAAGGGGGTGCATGGAGACTCTCCCTGTGGGTGCCTCTGGGGACAGAGGATGCAAACTGGCAATTTGGATTTTTAATATAAAAAATGTAAGGTCTGCACAGGCAGGGGTATTAATAAGTTTGGCTCCCAGCCTTAGAAAGGCACCTCGCATGAGCACGTGCCCAGCAAATATGTGGTCGACAGAGTTACATCGCCATGCCCAGGCAGGGACACAGAGGAAGTAAGGGGTAGAAGGGGACAAGAGGGGACAGTGGAGGTGCCCCTAGGACCCTGGCGTGAGGGTGGGTGTTGAGGGCAGTGGCATCCTGGGCAGCTGTCCCACCTTGCCCCCAGCATCTTCCTCATTCCCCAGGACCCTGTGACTGGGCACTAGATCAGCATTGGTAGAATCCTGGGGGCCGAGGGGGTACCAGGGTGGGCTGCTCCAGACTTCTGCTCTAGTAAATGGGCCCCAGGCCTATAGTGGCAGCCCCTCAGGGGTCCCCTGTCCAATGTGGGGCAACACCTTCTGCTTTGGAGAAGGAGGGGACCGCAACAGACCTGCCTGCCTGGAGTAAGGTGCTGACACTCTCCCTGTGCCTTGGAGCCCTATCCCCAGGCCAGAGACTCACTCCCTCCCACCCCGCTCCCCACCCTGCCTTCAACCCCTTCCAACTTGGAACACAGCTTTAGGGACATGCTTAGAAATGCCGAGGATCCTACTGAGGCCATTTTCAGAGTCCCTGGACAGAAGGATCCACCTCCAGCTGGTTGGCAGAAGGCCTTTCCACCCAGCAGTCTGCCCTTGGCATCTGCCTGGTGCCTGTGGGCTCAACATTAGCACACCCTCACTGGCTTCTGAGCTCAGGGGGTTTAGCATGGCTGGGGGTGGGGGGAGACAGCAGGGGTGGTTGGGTAGGTTGGTTTGATTAACCTTCTTTTTGTCACGGCCAAGGTGTCAAGGTGTTCAAATAATAGGGAAGCCCAGCGGGGCACATGGCCCAAGCAAAGACTGGAGGGGGGTTGGTTAAGTCCCTCTCTCTAGCTCCTGCTCTCCTGGGTCTTGCAGGAAAGGGTTAGAAGGAGAAGGAACAAAGCGCAGAGAGTGACCAGTGCCTTGGCTCATTTCTCTTTTTTCAAACCTGGGTAGAGGAGGTAGCAGGAGAGATATGTCCCAGGAGGGGAGACCCATACAACCCCAGAGATACAGACATGCAGATGCCTACTGAATCGTACCTACTCCTTTGTAGATACCCCTGAGACACACCCCCCACACCAGGACCCAGACGCTCTGGCCTTTTCTCTCTCTCACACCCCACCCCAGGGGCTGAGCTCTGGGGGCTGGGAGTCCAGGCCCTGAGTAAACATTCGTCCCTGAATGACTGGGTGGACAGAAACTGTCCTACGGTCACAGACCCTGGGATCACAGCCCACACCGTGCTAGGGGACACGCTGCTCAGCTAGGACACAGGAGCATCTGCCGCGAACCTAGAGCACCACTCTCAGATGGCCAGCCTGCTCACAGAAAGGGGTGGTGGTAGAAACTGTCCAGAGCTCCCTTCCACGGGCTTAGAGAGGGCTCCAGATCTGGGCGGCTGAGTCCAGACATGGGGGAAACAGTGCGAGTAGCAGGGTGACTGGGTGAACACTAGGGAGGCCTCTCCAAGGGGTGCTCACCTGGACCCCAGCTATACCCTGGCCTCCAGCCTGGAGGCAGGCATGGGGGTTTGAGGGAAAGCAGGAGAAGGAAGCCCCTCACCCCAGGATGAAGGGAGCACAATGTTACCCCTAATCATGACAGCTGACACTAATCATGAGTCCTAAACATGACCAGCCACTTTCTGTGTGCTGTCTCCCTAACTCCTTTAACTTCATCTCCCCAGAAGCCCCATAAGGAAGAACTTGAGCACTCCATGTGATAGATGGGAGTACTGAGGACCTGGGAAGAGAGGGAATAGGTCATCCAGCTGGTAAGGCTGTGGCATGACCTTTATTCACTAATCTAGACCCAGCCAGGGGGGTGAGTGTCCCCCAAAAATAGATTCCTCAGCCTCATCTCTTGGGCCACCTTGACCCCATGGCTCACAGTCCCTGCCCACCCTGGGAGTCATGGTTATCTACTTCCTGGGACCCTGTCTGGGAGTCACCAAAGATGGGGCTCTGAGGATTCTCACAGCCCACACAGGGTAGAGGCGGGGAGTAGAGACTGACCCCCTACCCACCCGTCCCTGCTCCCTACCCCAACACACTCACACCCAGAAAAGGCAAACAGAGCCAGAGACTGGAACACACTGCTGACTAGGCATCTCAGCCCCCAGGCAGACTGTGTAGCCTGCGGGTTAGCCATCCACACCTGTCCCTCACTCTCTCTGGCCTTAGTTTCCCACTTTTAAGTGGGGAGGAGACAAAGTGAAGTAAGACTCAGCGCACGCCTGGCCCAGAGCAGCTACTTTGCACTGCAGACTCATGACGAGCTGCCTCAGTTTCTCCAACCAGACCATGCAATGTGTGCGGAGGAGCCCCAAGTCCTTACCCCTGTGGACTTGGGGGCGGAGCAGGGTGCTCCAGGCAGCCGTGACTGTGGCACAGAGGGACCACCTTCAAGACCAGGCAGCGCCAAGCTTCTCCAACCCACCCAAGCTTATGCCAAGGGACTTCCGGGCGCCAAGGGGTGTTGGGGCAAGGTAAATGAGGCTTCGTTCCTGGGTGGGCCCAATGCCCTCGGCCACCCACAACTGACCCCAGTCCCTGCGCACAGGCTATGAGGCCCCAAAGGATCACATCTCTTGGTCATTGAGAGACCAACTCCCGAGGGGCCCAACACCCTTGCGGGGAGCTGGGCCATGGACGGGGGCGCCTAGTGCCTTTCTGCACCCACCCACCCCCACCTCGCCCACCCCCACTTCGCCCGCCCCCCCCACCCCAAGACCGGGAGGACACAGCGGGTGCCCCCCGTGTAGGGGCCCGACGGGCACTCACCCGGGCTCAGGGCGCGGGGCGCGGCGCCCAGGAGTAGGAGCGCGGCACCCAGACACGCAGCGGCCAGGGCGCGCCGCGGCCAGCAGCGCCTCCCCATGCTGTGCAGGGCCCGCGGGGCTGCAGTCCGCCCTGTCCGGCAGGGACAACAGTGCCCGGCCCGGGACCCGCCCCGGGAGCCGCCCCGCCGGGTCCCGCCAGCCCGGCGGCGCGTACCAAGGCACCGCACGGGGGTGCGAGGGCCCTGCTCGCGGGGGGCAGGGTGGCGCGGCGGCAGACCGCTGGGGACTGCGGAGGTGCGCGACGGCGGGTGGCGAGCCTCTCTCGTTCGGCCTCCACGCCACACACCCCATCAAGTGGGGCAGCGGTCCAGGGCGCAAAGGGTGGAGACCGGGTGGAAAGAGCCCTTTCGCCGGTGAAGCTCCGCCCCCTTCAGTTTGCCCTGGGGTACCATCCTCCACCCGAGGCCAAGAAGCCTTGACATCCAAGTAGCAGATCGGTGGGTGGGTCGGAAGAGCCCTGTGTCCTCGGTGTGTTTTCGCGGCCTCGCATGCCAGGGGGCTGGCTAAGGGCTGGTATGGGGAAAAGCCCTCTGTACATAACCCTCCCCCCACCCCGCCCCGATCTTCCGTCCCCAGTACCAGGCCTAAATGCCTCTTACTTCCCCCTGTAGCCTTGTTTTCCACAGGTGTCTCCAGGTCCCGCCTGAATTCTGGCTTAAGTAGGTCCTGGCCAGCTCTGGGAGGAGAGGTGGGAGTTCTCAGTTCACGCCCTGCTGGGGGTTGGGGCTCTTGTGCTTCACCTGGTCCCAGCAAGGAATCCGCACTCCAGAAGCGCACTCAGCTTGCTGAGGACTCCTGTGTGTGTGGGGATGAGAGTGAAGTCCCACATTTGAACGATGAACATCCAGCTAGCCCTGTGGGGTGGGGAGACCAGGGATCAGGCCTGACCCTAGTGCCTTGCTGCCCAGAAGTCGGGCTAACAGGGAACCAAGGGTGCAGCTGATACCATATGCAGGTGTGTGTGCATCTGCACCTGCGTGAACACTTAGCGGTGTGAGTGTGTGGGAAAGGGTGCTGCTGCAGTGAACTACAGTTTTATAGTAGCTCTTGAAAAATCCGATTCCAAACCTGGCAGGTGCCACCTAACCATTGTGTGAAATCAGGAAATTTGCCTAAGCTCTCTGTGCCCCAATTCCCTGTACAATGGATCAGTGAGTGCCATCTAAATCCTAGATGTTCGTGATGACTTAATTTATTTTTACAGTTACTGCCTGTTTCTGGCAAAAGACTGGTTTCTCTTACAGTGGTGATAACAGAAGTTCTTTCCTATTGTATTTATTGAGGTTTTAAAGGTCTGTTTAAGGAAACATATTAAGTAAATGATAGTTCTGTGGCTTAAAGAGATGGCTCCAAACGGTGATGATAGATCTCAAATGGCAGAGAAGTGGGAAACACAGTTCACAGATCAAAACAGAAGCTCTTTATTATGACTTTCTGGATGACCTGGACGGAGAGCCTTGGGACTGGCCCAGCTTTCCAGTTATTCGTGTGCCCAGTGGGTCCCAAATCTAATCTACACATGCATTCCAGATCCTCCCCCAGCCCACATTCTCCATAAGGGGTCCCAGCCTCTGGGTCCTTGGTCTCCTGGGCTGCCACCTGGTGGCCAAAGTTGAGAATAATGCCTCAGCCTATCCCTGTGGAGAAAATTCCTGGAGACTGGATCCCTAGAGACCCATGGGGGTGCCTCAGTTCAGGGTCTTGGGATGGAAGGGTTGAATATGCCTTGCCAGAGGCCCAGGGCCTCAGTATCTTCCCTATGAAGACACCTTGTGCATCCTCTGTCCTCTTAAAGGGACTCACATTCATTCATTCAGTAGATATTGAATTACCTACTCTGTGTGGGGGTTTGGCGGTACAGAACAAGACAGGGCCTTTGCCCTCATGAAATTTACATTATTGAATGGGTAGGGGACACAAAACAGGAATAAAAATATAAGATCATGCGAGGTGGTAAATGGTGCGATAAAGAAAATAAAGCAAGATAAAGGATGGGAAGTGTGTATACTGCCTGTAAGGAGTGAGGGTGACAGGTACCGACCTCAGGAAGGATGTGACACTTGAGTCAGGTGGGGAGGAGCCACACAGGTATCTGGAGGAGGACATTTCCAGGCAGAGAACCAGCCCTTGCTGAGGCCCTGATGCCATGTACCAGGAGATGTTAACTAACAAATTGCCCTAAAACTTAGCAGCTTAAAACAACCATTGAAATTTTGCTCACAAGAAAGACAATGATCATACGATTTCACTCATCTGTGGAATTTAAGAAACAAAACAGAGGAACATAGGGGAAGGGAGGGAAAAATAAAATAAGACAAAATCAGAGAGGGAAACAAACCATAAGAGACTCTTAATTCTAGGAAACAAACTGAGTGTTGCTGGACGGGGAGGGGGGTTGGGGAGATGGGGTCACTGGGTGACGGGAATTAAGGACGGCACATCATAAAATGAGCACTGGGTGTTCTGTACAACTGATGGATCACTAAACTCTACCTCTGAAACTAATAATACACTATATGTTAATTGATTTCAAATAAAATAAATTTTTTTTAATAACAAATAAATTTTGCTCACCATTTGTGGGTCAAGATTTGGGGAAGGGGCTGAGTTTGATGCTTCTCCCTGGAGGCCTCATCCTACTGCATCAGAGGGCAGCTGAGACTGGCCATCTGGAGCCTGGCCGGGTTGGCCATCCCTGGTGGCTCCCTCATGTGCCGGAGGTCAGCTGGGCGGTTGACCTGGACACCTCTGCATGGCACACCCCAGCCTGGGGTCCCAGGGTACTTGGGCTGCTCCACAGAGTCTAGACTTCCTTCTGTTTGTTTCCTGATAATCACTAAGTTTGACCCAGACTCAGAGGGCAGGACCATACCCCAGCATCAATGGGAGAAGCACCCAAGCAAGGACTGGCTGGCAGGTTTTACAACCACTACTGGTGTGAACAAGGAGCAGGAAGGAGGCTCTGGAGTCGATGAGAGTGGATGGAGAAGTCAGAGAGGCAAGCAGGTGGTCCACATCCCCAGAGTGTCCTGGGCCACATGTGGGTTAGTCTAAGCAGTCTGCAGTTGTGTTGCTAATTGGCTGGAGGTGGCTGGGAGAAGGTAGGGGGCCAGGAGAGAGGTGCCATCTCTGGGAGAGAAGATGGGCATGGACCTGGGTGGGGTGGTCTCAGCGTCCAGGGTGTATTTTTAAGTTAGAGGGGTTGGGTCAGGGTGGTTCAGGGGAAGGTATCCTGGGTGGTAAAGTGGATGGAGGAGTAGGAGGGGAAGCTGAGGCCAGGCTGATGGTTCAAGAAACAGAAATCCTGCCTGGGTCAGGAAGGCCAGCTGGATACTACAGAGACTGGGGTCCAGTGTGGCCTGGACTGGGGGGGCACCAGGAAGTCAAGGCTGGGATATATAGTGCAAGTCACCAGGTACTGCTAGGAGGAGAGGCTGGCTAGGACAGAATCAGCCACCAGGGTCAACCAGAGGGAAAACTAAGGCGGGCACTTGACGGCTGGAGAGAGGCCCCATCAATCACCAGGGAGGCACATTCTGAGCGAAACTGGGTTTGGCTTTTAGTGCCTGCCTGCCTTTCTTTACTCCTTATTAGTTTAAATTTTTTATTTATTTGGTTTGTCCATGGAGCAAAATTCAAAACCACCAGAGGTTTTTTCAAATGAGGTGAAATTTACATACCATAAAATTAATCATTTTAAAGTGTGCAGTTCCCTGGCATTTAGTACATTGACAATGTTGAAAGTGTCAGAGTTTTACAGTGAGAAGTCTCCTTCCTTCCCCAGTTCTTTGTAGTGTACACACACACACACACACACACACTGCTCTTTTCCTTGCTTTCTGATACAGGCAACAACTGGAAAATTGAACAGTATCTTAGCAGATGTTTATTCCGTGACAGGCATTAAGATGTGCCTCACGTGTTCTTAGTTAATCCTCGGACGCACCCCGTGAGGAAGGGACTATTACTACTTCCATTTTACAAACAAGGAAACCGAAGCACAGGAAGGCTGAGTAACTTACCCAAAGATACACAGCTAGCGAGCCGTAGAGCCAGTCTGGCCTATGTAACACCCCTGACCTCATCCTTTTACCTAGCTTGTACGATGTTTTTAAAAATGAAGTTATTTATTTTGCAATTCTTGTCGATTCGTGTTGTAAGAAACAATCCCTTGTGCCCCATTCTCCCATCGGTAACATCCTGCAAAACTGCAGAGCTGTGTCATAACCAGGACGTTGACGCTGATAAAATCCACCCATGTTTAAAGATTTTATTTATTTATTTGACAGACAGAGATCACAAGTAGGCAGAGAGAGAGAGGCAGGCAGAGAGAGAGAGAGAGAGGGAAGCAGGCTTCCCACTGAGCAGAGAGCCCGACGCGGGGCTCGATCCCAGGACCCTGAGATCATGACCCGAGCTGAAGGCAGAGGCTTTAACCCACTGAGCCACCCAGGTGCCCCAAAATCCACCCATGTTTAAAACCATTTTCTAACGGACTGCAAACATTTCAAAATGAGGAGATCTTACAAAAGCTGATTTCTGGCGTATCTGCCAGATGAGGTCTGCCAGGGGGACCTCAAGAGTGGCTGGGAGGGTGCATAGAGCCTGAGCTCTGGGTTCTGAGGGTTCAGATCCAGCTTTGTGGTCTTAGTTCCTGCTACCCCTCTCCACCTCAGCTTCCACATCCATAGAATGGGACGGTGAACTCCACGGGGCTGAGGAGGGGACAGAGTGAACTGGATCACGTGACGTGCTCCAAAGTGTGCATTTAGTACTCGGAAGATGTTTGTTGTTCTTCTCCCCTTGCCTCGAGTAGGTACTGCCCTTAGTGCTTACACAACTCGTTTGTGCCTCCCACAGCCTGAGTGGTAAATTACCACCCACTTGTGTAGACAGGGACAAGGCCCAAGGCCACAGGGCTCGTCAGGAGCTGAGCTAGATTAACACCCAAATGTGTTGCTTTCCGCGGACTGCCAGGATTCTAGAGTGTGGTCGCTTCCTGGCTGGGCAAGCGGGACCCGGGCCTCAGTTTCCCCGTCTGCAGCACATGACTGATTAGGAGCACTTTCCTGCAAGGTTGTTAATGAAATCAAGGGTGAGAGCCGTCTCCAGTAGGGCCCTTCACAGAGATCTTTGGGCAGGGGATGAAGCAGCGTGTACCTCACTGGGAGTCGAGAAGAGTACACCTGCTGCTGGGGGTGGGGCACTGCCCCCCTTCTGCACAAACCATGCGTTCTGTGCAGCTTCAGTATCACATGCCTCCCCATCATCGAGATACCAACCCAGCATCGCCTGCGTGGGTAAGACTGCCAAAGCAAACCCCCACATTAGAGCCCACCAGCTCTCCAAAGCTGGGTCCTAGAAAACAGCCCCTTGAGGCCAACACCCCACTAACAGGACAAACAGACCCCTGAGCAGTTGTCTCCCCGGCATGAAGCCTGCCTCTCCCCAGAACACTGCCTCCGCCTCAGGTCAATACTACAGGCAGCCAGGCTAGGGGCCAACGACCCAATGACCTAATCATGGCTCCTTCTGCAGGACCTGGGCCCAATGAGGTGCTGGAGGAGGTGGCTGTGGAGCGGAAGGTCCCCGCCCGCTGGACCGTGACTGTGCGGTCTCTGCCTGACTTCCCCACAGAGCCGGCCTCCGTCTCAGCCTCAGCCAGACATGTCCAGCCTCCAGGCACTATGCTCCGGCCTGCCGCTGCGGCCCCTCCCGGAGAACCGGGGCCGCTGGGCTGGGGTGCCCCACGCACCGGTCAGGACGCCCGGCCTCAACCCCGCGGAGGAGCAGGTAAGAAGCCGGGCCCCATTCCCGCCAGGCCTTTTGCCCCCTGGTGCCGTATAGATGGTCCGGATCCCTGCTGGCCAGAGCCTCCTGAGGGGAGGTCGAAGGCCACTCCACCCACCCCCTTCCTCATTTTCTCCCCAACTACCCGTGACCTATGGGGATCCCGTGGCTCAAGGTCATCCAGCCAGGGAGCAGGGTGGGACACTGTGGCTGCCTCCAGTCAGAGGAGTGAAGCTGGGGCAAAGTACCCCAAAAGCCCAGCAGCGGGTGTACCCTCCTCCCTCAGACACGCATATGGCTTTGAGGGTCTACGAAGTCAGCTCTCATTTCCGCCTGTGTTCCTGCCCCCAAATTTTGTAATGAGTTTGCTGCCGCAAGGCTAGAACCCCATTGGGGGTGCGATAGTGCTGGTGAGAACAGGGCGGAGGCCAGGGGTCTCTACCGTCGCCCACAGCCTCGAGAGCCTGGCCTGGCCTGGCCGGAGACGGCCCGGGACTGGGGGCGCTCCGGCCAGCACCTCCGGCAGGTCTGACCATCTGGGAGTACACTTGTCTCCCTCGTAAGCTGGGGGACAAATAATTACACCATGCGGTAGGGAGGCCCGACGAAATGAAGTAAGTGGCTCGGTTACGCCAACAGTATTCTTTTTCTTTGCTCAGCATTACTAGAAAATATACGTAAGCACGAACATTAAAAAAAGAGTCACACAACCACACCCCACAGTAAGACTGCGGCGCTTCAGCGGCTGCCCCCCAAACTTTCCGCCCTTCCGGACTCACAACGTGGGGGCGGGGCGGTGGGCGGACTTGGGGGCGCTGGGGCGGGGTGGGGGCGAGGCTGGGCGGAGCGAAGCAGGAGATGGGTGGGGGCGAGGTGCTGGGGGTGAGGGGTATTGCTGGGGGCGGGGCGCTGGGGCGGGGCTGGGAGGAGCGGAGGCAGGGGAAGGGTGGGGCGGAGTGCTGGGGCTGAGGGGTGTTGCTGGGGGCGGGGCGGTGCTCATCTGGCCCAGCTCAACTACGTGGAGATAGTCATTAAAGCTTCCTCCCCCTTGGTCACCTCCCCGCTGGGCCCCAAGGCCTAGACTTTTGACCTTGAGGGCCCGAATGGCTCTGCCACCTACCCATCTCAGGTGATATTTTTCAGGTTGTGTGATGGCCTCTTGTGCTGGGAGGAGGGCACTCAGGAGCTGAGGAGCTGGGTCACCTCCGCTTTGCCCTGGGTATGTCGCCATTTGCTTGAAGGACAGAAACAAAACCCCTGGAGCAGGGGCTACTGGCAGGTCTGGGAGTGTGTGCTGTTGCAGCCCTTTAACCTTCCCTGGGATGTCAGGGTCAGCCAGCCTTCAGCATGGGCCTGTTACACAGTAAGAAAGATGTATGTTGACCTCTGTCCTGCCCCCCTTCCTGCTAGTACTTGATCTTTGACCCCAGCTCCTGACACAAAACTCCTAAATTCTTTGGAATTTCCTGGGTGATAGGAGCCTCTTTTGTTCTAAGGAAGCCACTGTGGGTGGGTTCCTGGATGGGGAACCGTCACCCAAATGGCCATTCCATGATTAGAAACTTGGAACCTTGGGCTGTACCCCCCCATCCTCTGGATGGGGAAGGGGGCAGGAAATGGAGTTAATAATCCATCATGCTATGTGCTGAATGAAGCCTCCATAAAAATCCCTTAACCACAGTGTTCAGAGAGCTGGGCTGCTGAACACGCTGAAGTGCTGGGGCAGGTGTGGTGCCCCAAAAGGGCATGGAGGCCCCACGCCCCTTCCCCAGACCTTGCCTTGTGTACCTCTTCACCTGGTTGTTCATCGGTATCCTTTCTGGTAAGTTTTGTTATATAATAAGCCAGTAGACATGTTTCTCTGAGTTCTGGGAGCTGCTCTAGCAGATTAGGAGCCCAAGGAAGGAGGTTGTGGGAGGCCCGCTATGTAGCTGGTTGGTGGGAAGGTGCAAGCCTGGGATGTATGACCAGGCATCTGAAGTGGGAGGGGCAGTCTTTGGGACTCAGTGTGATAGCTCTGAGGGTAGATGGTGTCGGGACTGAATCGTAGGCCCCCCTGCTGGTGGGGAGAATTGATCATGTGGGGAAACCCCTCAAATCAGTCCCAGAAGCTTCCTGTGTGAGAACACGTATGAGAAACACGAGAAGCTTCTCCTAGGCAGTCCCAAACACAGTGACTTCATCAGCAGCTCATTTTGTGCTTTCCCTCAGCTTGTTTTCAATTCTTTTTTAAATTTAAACATGTCTCTTTGATTTTTGGCATAAACTTTCCAGGTAATTTTATAAGACAAGGAAGTCAAGTATTATAATTGTGAAAGTTCCCCATTTCTCCGCCTGAGTCACCATGGCCATTTTTGGGCATACCCTTCCGCACGCATTCCATGTACATACAAAATGTGTGTGTGTGTCCTTCTTAAGAATATAGACGCATCCTATATACGTCCGTTTTTTTAGGTGTTCGTTATTGGTGAGTTTAGAGTTGTCCTGTTCTTGTAACTGGTGCACAGTATTTCGTTACTAGGGTGCCCTTCCCTCTTTGTTCTTCTTCTTCTTTTTTTTTTTTTTTAAAGACTTTATTTATTTGACAGAGAGATCACAAGTAGGCAGAGAGGCAGGTAGAGAGAAAGGGAAAAGCAGGCTCCCTGCTGAGCAGAGGTCCTGATGCGGGACTCGATCCCGGACCCTGAGATCATGACCCGAGCGGAAGGCAGAGGCTTTAACCCACTGAGCCACTCAGGTGCCCCTTTTTTTTTTTTTTTAAAAGATTTTATTTATTGCTCTTTGTTCTTCTTTAAGGAGATTTCTCTGTTTAAATATAGAGTATGGTCTGGCTGTAATTTTAGTCAGTGTATTCTCAGCACAAACACAAGACAGCTTCTGTGGTGCAGAGGGAAATTTTCATCATAGAACAGGAGCAGCAGTTCTAGAAATGTCTTTAGCACCCCCTGGTGCCATACCAATTACTCTTAGTGACCTTTTCTCCAAATACTGCCCCACCCGCAGGGGCTGTTCTGGGCATCAGATACCAAGACCCGAAGACCTCTCACCTGCGTCCGTGTCCCCATCACTAATAACACACTATCTCAAGCTTCTTAAGAGCGGGGCTCTGTTGGGTTCATTCCTGGGGCTTCGGTAACACCAGTACCTGTTTGTTGAATGAACAGGCAAGAGTCTATGCTAAGCGCCCCAACCAAATCCTACAAGAGTTTAGTGGGCAGGAGAAACCTAGGAGGGACACTTGGAGGAGGTGTTCTTGGCAACATGGGCAGGGTTCTTAGACTGGGAAATCCAAGAAGGAAGGCCATTTGGAGACAGAGGGGGGCAGTGAGTGAAAAATGCAGAGATGGGTCTGTCCAAAGTATTGTGGGGGTGAAGGAGGCCCCGTGGAGTTCCAAGCTGGCTGTGGAGCTTGGAGAGTCAGGCCCAGCCAAATTACTGAGGCCTCTGAAAGCCAAGAGCAGTGTTGACTGTGTCAGATGAATGGGGAGCCCCTGAGGGTTTCTGAGTAGGGGCATGACCTGCTGCTTCACAATACTCTCTATGAAGAGTATAAGGGTTTCTCCAGATTCCCTAGAAGGGCAGGGTGGGCAGGAGACCCAACTAGAAGAAGGAGTCGGCAGCATGGAGGGCCATGAGTGTGGGAGATGATTATTTTGATGGCTGGCATTCCCATGGTACATATATGTGCCAGACCTTCTTCAGTTAGTCGCCAAGATGGCCCTATGACGTGTGTGCTGTTCCTGTGCTCATTTTCCAGAAGAGGAGAAGGGAGGTGAAGCGTGCATGTGCCACATAGCCCCCCGCTCTGGGATACACTGAGATCAGAAGAGCCGGAGCCCTGTAGCCTCAGCCTCTGCAGAGGCTGCCCCGTTCCCAGCTACAAGCACCTGAGCCACAGTTTAGACCCAGGAGGCCAGCTCCAGTTCGGGCCAGAGCGCGCCTAATGAAGCCTGAGCAAGAGTGGGTGTGGGGACTGGGGTGATTCAAACAGGGCCACGCCACACACTCTCTTCTGTGAGCTAAACAAAGTCACACACTGGTATCCTTTTAGGTGATCAGCCACCACGCAGGAAAGATTTGCTTCTGGCAGAAGTAACACTGTTCCCAAGACAGGATTCTGTCACTGTCTATTACTTTCCTAGGGCTGCTGGAATAAACCTCCATGAAAGGAGTGCCTTTAAAACAGCACAAATGCATTCTCTTACAATTGCGAGTGTCAGAAATCTGAAATGGGTTCCCTTGGGCCACAGCAAGCAACACCGATGCGTATGCAAGGATATTGAAATCATGCTTGTTCTTTTGCTCTGATTGAGTCTGGCGATTCCCATTTTTGGGGGTGAAAATATTACATATGAGATTGTCCTGTTTTATGTTCACATGTCTCAAAATTTCATAATATATTTTCAGTAACATTAAATATACTGGAAAATATTAAGTTAAAAATAAGCAGCAGGGCTGCATTTCTTCTGCAGGCTCGCAGGGGGTGGGGGCCGATTTCTTTCCTTGCCTTTTGTAGCTTCTAGAGGCTGTCTACAGGTTTTGGTTGTCCTGTCCTGTCTTCCATCTTCAGAGCCAGCTGCCTAGCCAAATTCAAATCTCTCTGACTCAGACCCTCCTGCTTCCCTCTTTTGAGGACCCTGGTGAATATATAGGGCTGATCTGGGTAACGCAGGACAGTCTCCCATCCTCAAGTCCTCAATCACATCTGCAAAAATCACACCTCTTTTGCCTCATAATTTAACATATTCATGGGCTTCAGGGAGTGGAATGCAGACATCATTGGGGGCCATTATCCTGCCCACCACACCATCAGGCATCCTGAATTCTCCAACCTGATGGCTGAACCCAGAGCATTTTATGAATTCATCCTCTTTCCCTAAGGGAACAGGCCACTGTTCTGTTAGAGTTTTAGGCCTATTAAGACCAAGTGGGAGTGGGAGTTGTCTAGAATATTCTTGCCAATTTATGTGTCTTAAATACATTTGATTTCATCAGTAAGAACCCACTTAGAGAGGTGCCTGGGTGGCACAGTCGTTAAGTGTCAGCCTTCGGCTCAGGTCATGATCCCCAAGTCCTCGGAACAAGCCCCACATCGGGCTCCCTCCTCAGCAGGGGGTCTGCTTCTCCCTCTCCCCCTGCTTGTGTTCCATCTGTCACTGTCTCTCTGTCAAATAAATAAATAAAATCTTAAAAAAAAAAAAAGAACCCACTTAGAACATGCATTATATAATTAGTGGGCTATAATTTCATCAATGATAATCCACCTCTAACATTGTTTTTTTTTTTTTTAAGACTTTTATTCCCAGGGTCCTCAGGCCAGTGGTGGGATCTTGGGCAGACACAACATGTCTGAGTACCATTTTCTCATCTTGATACTGAAAGCTGCTCCCAGTCAGAGGCTTGGAATATTGAATCCAGGCCAGCAAACAGAGCTGCTGCTTTGTACACTTTTTCACTGAAGAAATACTTACTGCATGTGTATTAGATAACTCTATCAGGGGCTGTGTAGTGAGGTCAAGTCTTGTGTAGATTGTGTGTGTATGTGTGTGTGTGTTAGGTATTGCTTTAGAAACTTTTCTTTAAATGCTCAGTTTCGCTTGGCATGCTCTTATGAGAAAAGCTCTACACCAGCTAGAAAACAACAACCATCTTTGTGTTGAGGTGTAGCCCGCACAGAAAGCAGCCGAAACCACGTATGCACAGACACGAATGTCACAGGCACACAGGGAGAGGGGACAGACCCGGGCTTTGAAGGGGGACCGCTGTCCTGACTTCTAATGTGTGGCGTGGTCACACCTGCTCTTGAATGGCCTGTCAACAGAGTTATGCAGCACGTCCCTTAAGTGTGGACTTCTTTCACTCAACAGCAGGTTGGGAGAAGCCACCTGGCTACTGTCATTGTGGAAGGTTCATCTCCGTTGCTGTCCTGTAGTGGTTCCCAAAATGGGGTCCCCGGGCCAGCGGCAGCAGCACCTGGGAACTGGTCAGGGACACAGGTCAGAGGCTGCACTAGACCGCTAGGGTGATTCCGACATCTGCTGAAGTTAGAGGCCCGCCTGCCGCAGCATATTCCTAGCCACTGTTCAGGCCTGTGTGTGTCTTACCCATGCAGCCTTTGACCTCTGGGTGCATCGGACAGGTGGTCCTGCCCCTAGCCCTCTGCCCCAGGCATCTGTGCTCCCAGCTGGGTGTCCAGCATCATCTCCCTGTTGGCACTTCTGTCCCACCAGGCCAAATGCTGTGTACCCAGTCCTGGGCCCTAGCATCTTCTCTCGTCACCTCCTGCCTCCCAGTGTCCAAAGCCCACCTATCTTCCTCAAGTATCCCGCCATCTCTTCCCTCAGCAGATCTGCACTGCGTGAATGAGGGAATAAACTCAGCACACCCAGCTCCTCCTCTCCCACCCCCAATGCAGTTTGTGCCCTAGATTCAGCTGGTTGAAGAAATGGCCTCAACGTCCACTCAGACACCAGGCTGTCACCATGGTCCCGTCTCCCACTTTGCCTGCCTCCAGGTGCTAGTCCAGGTGTTAGAAGGAGGAGTGCTACGAAGGGGTCTGCCAGGACTCTGGTCCTCCTTGAGCTTAGTGAGACAGATTTTAAGCAATAAAACAAGCAAGCCCTAGAACATCCAACAGTGAAAAGCTTGGGATGGAGACAGAGGCAGGTGGAGTGGCTGAGAGTCAAGAGGGGGAGGTCAGGGCAGGCCACTGAGGATCGGGCACCTGGACTGAGGCCCGAGTGAAGGAAGAGACCCTCCAAGAGAAGGCAGGGTGGCAGAGAGGGTTTAGGCAGAGGGAAATCTAAGTACCAAGGCCCTGCGGCCAGACCAGGATCATGAGGGATGTCTGGAGGAGTGACAAGACGGCTTGGGATTTGGGGTGGATGAGAAACCCTGGGAAGGTTTCTTCTTTCTCTTGGCCTGCTGTCTCTGGCTCCAGGCTCTGCCCCAGGCCTGCTGGCATCTGGGGCCATCTCATTTCCAGAGCAGTCACTATGCAGTTGTGCATCATCTGAGGCTGGTTGCCAAGCCGGCGCTGTGGAGTGTTGCTTCCCTACAAATGCACAAGGTGCCTGTGGGCTCCTAGCAGATCTGCTTACCCCACCCTTGAGTCCCCATCTCCCACTGCAAGCCTCAGGGCAGGCCCCTCTCTGCTCCTTGACTGGGATGAACAAAGGGAGGGACTAGAGGTCTGTCTACGTGAAGAGGGTATGGCAATCAGAGAAGGCTTCTTGTAGGAGGTGACATTGTAGATGGGCTTGGAGTGAGAACTAGGTCGTCTCTGGGTGAGGCCACAGGTTTCTCAGTGGAACAGAGGCAAATCGAAGTAGGGAAGGAGGATGGCCTCACAGCGCTTGGCCCGGAGCTCCCCTGCCCCCTGCTGCCTCTCCTCTTTTTCTTCCCCCAGCTGGCGCTGAGGAATGCCCTGCGCTACTTCCCCCCCCGATGTCCAGCAGCTACTGGCCCCTGAGTTTGCCCAGGAGCTGCGACTGTATGGGCATATTTACATGTACCGGTTCTGCCCTACCATGAAAATGAGGTCAGTGCTGGGGACGGGTGCAGCTTCCAAGGGGGCCCAGAGCAGGAAGTTCGAGGGAGGGACTGTCCTGGAGGTCAGCAGGTTGGGGGAATCCAGGCTGTCCACACCAGGAGGCCCACAGCCATGGTAGGCTGAGTCAACAGCCCTCCCACAGAGAGGGGGTGGTGGCTGTGTTGTCGTCTGTGCAGGGTCTATAGCCTTGAACCTGGCCAAAAGATGAGGGAATCCTTTTCAGACAGGTGTCTCTGGCCTGCCATCCAGGGCAGTCAATCCTGAGCAATTCTGGAGCCCGGTTGTATACGAAATCCCTTCTCTAAACCTATACCTTGTCCTGCCTCGAGATGAGGAGAGCTTTAGAGGGGCGCCTCTGTCAGTGTCTTCAAACAGCTTCGGTTCCCTCCAGCGGTCTCAGGCTGAGCGCTGCATGGCACTGGAGGCCTTGTAAGAAAATGTGGGTGGCTGGGCTTCACCCCACATTGTGGATTTGGCAGTTCTGGGGGGTGGGGGCAGGAGGAGCTGCCATTCCCACGGTTCCCAGACAATGCTGCCCCCACTCTGAGCTCACATTCTGAGCGCCATTGTTCTTGCATATGCCAGATCTGTCTGGAACCGCCCCAGGGAATGCCCATAAAGTAGGAACCACGTCCCCTCATTCCTGTCAGGGCCTGTCAGCCTGGCATCCGCTCTGGAATTGATGCCCAGGAGCACTGGTGGCATGAAGGAAAGCTGGGACACATAAAGTCCACCTGGATTAGAGGCTTCTGGAAAGCAGACACCAGCTTTGCTCGAAGTCCATTTTCTGCTACTTGGACCTCACCAAGGGGGGAGGAAGGGAGGTCCAGGTGGGCAGGGGCCTAACTCCCTGTGCTTGGAAGGGCAGGTGTGCAAAGCATAAAGTGAGCACCAGAGTGGGCTGGCCTGGGTGGTTTGGAACTGCCTTCTGCGGGCAAGTCCCGGGCGACTTCTGCAGGATGCCGCCTTGCTGCCCACACCTGCGTGGCCAGGTGCTGGGCTGTGGCCCGTGTGGGCCTGAGCTTTAGCAGGCAGGCAGCCCGGGCCCTCCCATCATCACACCTGGTGGCTGGACTCCCCTTGCAGGGCCTACCCCATCGAGCAGTACCCCTGTCGGACGAGAGCTGCGGCGGCCATCATGCACATGGTCATGAACAACCTGGACCCTGCTGTGGCCCAGGTAACAACTGAGGGTAACAACTGGGGGAAAAGTTCCATTTCTGTCGGGAGGAGCACTGCCCGACAGAAATGGAATTCAAGACATATATATAATGCTTTTAAGCTTTTTATTTAGAAATAAGGATAGATTCATAGGAGGTTGTAAAGACAATGCAGAGGAGACCACAGAACCTGCTCCCAGCTTCTCCCAGGGCCTGTAACTTCTGTAACTGCCACGCAGCACCAACATCAGGGCATCAGTATCGGCATAATAGACCCACGTGTCATTTCAAATTCTCTAAAAGCCACATGAAAAAGTAAAAAAAAGTAAAAAAAAAAAAAAGATTTACTATTGTATTTTGTTTATCCCAATGTATTAGAAATACTATCATTTTAACCTGTAGCATACACATTACTGAAATGTTTTACAACCTTTTTCCTACTAAGTCTTTGAAGTTGGGTGTATTTTACATTCAGAGCATGTCAGATGAGCTACGGTTCAAGTGTGCGATAGCCACACATGGGTGGCCAAGTCTGGTCAGGTGTGTCTGGCACAGACATCCTTGGGGGCCAGTCTGTACCTCAGACACCCATATTTGAGAAAGGATAGCCTTTGCAGGGGTGAGTGTCCAGGTATTAAACTGGAGGGCAAGATGGTCCTAGAATTTAAATATTCCACTTGAGGCGAGAGCTTCCTCAATCCTGGCCCTGTCCTCAGAACCTGGTCACAGATGGACCCTTGACATTGACCCTGGGCTGAGTTCCCGGAGGGATCCCAGATCCAGGTCTGACCCTCTCCTCACACTGAGATCGTATCCAGTCACAGGTGGGCCAACGTTCCCGCAGAGGTTGCTGTCCTTGGGCCTTGCCCTTTCTGCCTTCTCCCCCTGTCCTTAACACTCCTTCTTCAAGGGCCATCAGCCACCTTGCCCTGTTGAGCACAGCCTAGAGGTGGGGGCCCTCCCAGCCCCCCATCTCAGATGACACCATGTCTTCTCCAGTTTCCGCAGGAGCTCGTGACCTATGGAGGAAATGGGCAGGTGTTCAGCAACTGGGCTCAGGTACGCTGGACTGTATGGCTTTCCTCCCACCGTGTCTTCTGGCCTGGTAGGAGCTTACAACCCAGGGCTCAGGACTCAGGACTCAGGTCTCTGCCTCCCTGATGCCTGAGATGCCAACACTGGAGATTCTCAGCGTACTGAAGGTTCCAGGCATTACTGGAGGCACCTGGAACCATTGGAGAGTAATGAAGGCCTGGGGGATGGGGCACTGGCAGGACTCCTGGGGCTGTGTGAGCTCTCTGGGCCTGGGTGGTAACTTGGGAGGCAGTGTGCCCCTCACCTGACACATCCCTCCATGCTTTCTTCTCCCCTGCAGTTCTGGCTGACGATGTCCTACTTGTCGCAGATGACGGAGGAGCAGACCCTGGTCATGTATAGTGGACACCCACTGGGCCTCTTTCCCAGCACTCCCTGGGCCCCCAGGCTGGTCATCACTAATGGGATGGTGGGTCCTGGGGCAGCTGGGCATGGTCATGCCTTGGGGCAGCGGGAGAACCAGGTACCCCCAACACCTGCCTCCCCATTGTTTCCTCTGTGCTGCCCCCAGCCCTTGGCTCCCATCCCTCTTTTCTAGGTCATTCCCAACTACTCCTCCAGGACAGAGTATGAGAAGCTCTTTGCCATGGGAGTCACAATGTAAGCCCCATCTCACTGTTTCAGTTTCTATTAAGGTGTTTCCACCTCAACCATGCTTTATTATTTTTTCAGCCATGCTTTATTATAAAACTATATAGCAATATTAAAAACAATTTGAAAAACAGTCACAATGGCAGTACGAAATCACGATTTCATGTTGACATATTCCCTAGGAGTGTTTGTGGATATGCATACTACGATTTTCATACATTTGTGAACAAGGGAACAATTTGGATCCTGTTGTTATGTTATGAACAATTTCAAATAGACAAAACATTGAAAGAATTAACAGTGAACACTGAGATTCTGTGTTTAACACACTACTGAAGTCTGTATCCCCTGTCTCTCTATCCATCGTCCTTCTTTCCATCCATCTGACCAGCTTGGTTTTTGATGCACCTGAAAGTAAGCTGCTGATATGATGGCCTGGAATTCAATATTTGTTTACAGTTTTTTTTTCTTTTAAAGTGAAATTTACATGAAATGCACACAACCTAGTGCACCATTTGATAAGACTGACAAAGGTGTGCACATTGCAACCCTAACCCCAAGATACAAAGTACAACCATTTCATTTGTCATAAAATTAACGCAGGCTCTGAATTGCAGACTTTCCCTTCAAACATTATAAAAAGAGCTACAGTGGAAGGGAAATCCCTCTCCCATCCTATATTCCCCATTTCAGGGGAGTCAAGTCTGTGTCTTTCCAAACACTTCTTACACAGGTGGTTACAGATGTAGGTAGACCATTACAGGCCCTCTGCACTAGCCCTTCTACCTTTGACAATATTGCTTTCTTTCAGGGACTGTGAGTCTAAGTGATCCTTATTTTACCTGCATTGTTCAACTGTAGCATGATTTATTTGGCCCCCTTTCCCCCTGATTTGGGTTGTTTCCAGTTCTTTGGGCTTATAAAGAATGCTACAGTGAATGTCCTCATCTGCATATTTTTGTGGATATCTGGAAGTGTTGCTCTAGACTAACCATGTGAAGCCATTACCGGGACCAACCAAGTGGTTCCCCTCTTCGGTGAGCTATGGACAGAGACCACACCAAGCAGTGTTGCCTCGCAAGTCCACTTTATTCATACAGATGAGAACATCACAGGGAATAACGTCCAAAGGCACTCTCCCAGCAGGAGCAAGCAGGTCCCTTTTAGCAGGGCTTGGGATGAATATTCAGGGCGGGATTTTAATGTTGTAATGAGGCTGAGGTAACTGTCAGGGACAGGGGGTTGTTCTCAAATGTTTCTTCTCCCATTCCAGCAGTTCCTTCCTTAGTTTCTAGAAGAGGAAATTGACAGGCAGGGGCCTCTAGGCATTTCCTGAGTTCAGGAGTCAGTCCTGAGTTCGGGGGATTGAGGGGTCTCACCAGTGACCAAGTTTGATCAGGTCTGTCGTATTGAGAGCCAATTACCCAGGCCTCGGGCTGATACTTAATAATATAATCATCGTAATAGTCACCAAGATTTGTAGATATCTTCACATTCGGTCCTCTACCCAAGCCTCAGCACTAGGTGCCCTTCTCAGCCCATTTTGTGGAGGAAGAAACTGAGGTTCAGAAACTCAGTTCTTTTTCTGGTTGGTCATAAGTAGTTACTGTTACTATTATTTCCTCTGAGGCCCGACAGCCTCTTCTGTGCCTGCGGGGTCAGAGGTTCCATCCAGGGTCTGCCTCTTGGGTCCGGTGCCTCCTCAGTGTGATGTTGGACAAGCGGGTGTGCTTCTGGTTTGTAGGTTGAGGACGGAAGTTTCAAGAGAGTGGAACTGCAGAGTCAGACCCGTCTGCCACACCTGAGGGTTGACCCAGGTGCCATGGGCAACTGACTAAATGGATGCAAAATGCCCACAGGGGTGGGAAGAGGTTTACTTGTATCGGGGATCTGAGAGCCTCTAACTAAAGCAAAGCCTCCTTGCTAACAGTCAGACAAACACAATGCTACAGATAGCAACGAGTCCCAGGGAGGAAAAACAGGCAGTCTCAGATTGTGGGTAGGTCGAGGTCCATCCAGCAAGGCTGGGGGTGGCCAGGAGGACTACATCTCAGCAGCTGGGGTCAAAGTTCCAAGTGCAGTGGATTTGGAACAGTGGACAGTCTTACTTCCAAGAGCTATTTTGGGAGCAACACGCAGTGGATAACTTGAGCACAAAGGACCAAATCAGAAGGATTTAAAATCATTTTCCAGCTCTGGTGCATATCCCCGTGTAACCTTGGAACTTGGATCCTGTCTCGAAAGAGGGAATTTAATAGCTCCTGCCTCAAAGAGTCTCGTCAGATTTCATGAAAGATAGAAGGGACACCGTTTTCCGCGTAGTGCAAAGGGAGCCCCCCTGAGCACTCTGCTTGATGTTTGTGAGCCCACTAGGGATCCCTCCTTCTGGCAGACATTAGGGGCCCATGCAGCCTTGTGGGCCATGTGATGGTTTCACCCTTCTCCCTGGGAAGGTATTTACCATCTTAGCACTGTTTTTTATGTTGTTTAATAGACAACCTTCCAAGGCAAGGATAATGCCTCCCTCTTTTTGAGAAGAAGATGCAGAGGTCCCACGTGGTCCGGCGCCTTATCCAAATTATGGGATAGACGCAGCATCAGACACAGATCTGCAGGAATCAGGATCCACTGTTGGTTCAGCAGAGAGGAGGGGCTGGAGAGAGTCGCTGGGGGCAGGAACCCGATAGAAACGAGATAGGGATTTGAAATTGAAGAAGGAGTAAAGCAAGCGTCCATAAGCCCTGGAGGATCTCCTTTCGTCAGTGGTCCTCAGGGAGGAGGAAGGTCCAGGTAACAGAAAAGTGCTGTCCTCCCCCTGTTGCATTGCCAGAAAATTCAAGAGTTTGATGATTATCAAGTGATGGACACAGGCATGCACATGCATTGCTGGTGACAGTCACTTTGGCACTTGAGAGTATCTGTTCATATTTAAAATGTTTGCACCTGACGACCTAGCACTACTTCTTCCTGCTTCCTTCCCTGGGCCCAGGGAGAAGGATAGGAGGCATCTCACTGCCACTGCGGGGTGCGTTGTTTGCAGAGTTAGGTCGGAGGGTCGAACATTCTGTGGCTTCTGATATTGCATACTGTGGAGCCATGAATAGGAGTGGGCAGGATCTGTGTGGACCGTTGTGGGAAGGCCCCCACCGCTGTTGTGCCCCCTGCGGAAACAGTACCGCTACCTACTCAGTGAGACCATTTATATAAATAACACCCATACTAACGACAGTAACTGCACAGCAAACGGTGCTCTGAGTGCACTTCAGGGCAGTCTGCCTCACTGAGGCACAACACACACACCTGACGTTTGTGGCCAGGTGAGTTCGGATACACGCTGGAGCTGTGCCAGCCCCTCTCTGAAGACACATCCTCTGCCTCCTGCAGCTCAGTGCCAGCCCTCCCGCAGGTAGACTCCCCAGTGGAAGGTCATTGAAGGTCACGGAATGGAATCCCGCAGAATGTACTTCTTCACAGAGCCACTTGACACACAGGAGGACGCGGGTCGTTTTCTTTGCCACGTAGCATTTCATTGTGTTCATAGGCTGCTGTCGCTTCTCTGTCCTCTGTGACGGACATTCCAGCTGTTTCATGGGGTTGGCCACTGCAAATACAGTTGCTGTGAACAGTGGTGTGCTTGTCTTTACGTGGGCGTGAGCCTGCACAGTGGAGGTGCTGGGTCTCGCTCATCCTCCATCAATATGGCCCCGTAGTCCCCAAAGTGATTTTACCAATTACAGTACAGTTTTGAATAAAACAAAAATCTGTTTAGGAAAGATCCAGGAGGCCAGAGGGGACCAGAATTGAGGGGACTATAGCTTTATCTCTGTTTCCTTTTTTTAAAGGAAAATACATTAATGCATTTGTGGGGAATTAAAAAGGAATTTTAAACCATGTAACGCATGTGGAAGCTGTGCCTGGCTCTGGGCTCACCCCTAGGCTTGCTTTCTCTGTGGGCAGGTACGGCCAGATGACAGCAGGCAGTTACTGCTACATCGGACCCCAGGGAATTGTCCACGGCACAGTGGTGAGAAACAGGGCCATGCCTGGCTGCAAGGGTGGGAGGCTGATGTGCTGGAGGAGACAGTGAGTGCCTGCCTCTTCTCCCGGCAGCTAACCGTGTTGAATGCTGGCCGACGGTACCTGGGTGTCAAGGACCTCATGGGGAAGGTCTTTGTCACCTCTGGGCTGGGCGGAATGAGTGGTGCGCAAGCCAAAGCCGCAGTCATCGTGGGGTGCATCGGTGTGATAGCAGAGGTGAGCCCAGCGGTGGGGGTATGTCTAGGAACATAGGAGAAATCCTGCTCTCTGCCCACCTGCTTCCTCCCTCAGTCTAGAGACACTCACACTCACACTCCCAGCTGTCTCTTCTCTCTCCGCCACCCAGAATTCCCTGGGACGGGGTGGGGGTGGGGGTGGGGTGGGCTTTCCCACGGCAGTTTATGCCTGCTGCCTGCTAAGTGCCCATCACCTTCCACAGTCAACGTCTGCTGATGCTCTCCCACAAAACTAGCCTTCTGTGGGCACTTCCCTTATCCCACCAAATCCCGGAACACGGCCGGTGGATAATAAATGTGGGTAAATGAACATAGACCTCTCCAGCTCAGACAGGTCGCAGTTGGGTAGGGGGTGCAGACTTCAGGAGAAGTGTTGGTGGCGTTTGCTCAGTGGCTTTCACGGCTTTCTTTGGGAGTGCCAAGGAGAGGAAGGGGGCCAGGGAGAGGAGGCGAGGAGCTTTAAGACAAACCTGGTTGGGGTAGGGCGTACCTTCTCATGGGAGATGTATTTCCTGCTTTCGGGGGACAGAAGAAGGCCTGAGTGTCCTTGTACAGGCGTCTCTTAAGTGACTTGTATTTAAAATAATCAATATGCCAGAGTGACACATTTTGGGGGGCCTGCCTTCGGCTCCTACACAGAAAATAAGTTACAGCAGCTAACGTTAGCTCACACAGAGCTCATCCCCTAGAATCTGCAGGAAAACAGCCTACGTTTTTAAAAAGCCTTGACTTCCCCTTGCCTCATCCTCAACCCTCATCCTCATCTCCTTTCCCCTGTATCTTCAAAACGTGTTTGCCACAGAGAAAACACTCAGTATTTGTAATAAGATTCCCAAAGAGTAAATAAGGAATCCTAAGAGAGAGAGAGAGAAGCCTTGGTGATACACACCTTTGTGACTTACACTTAGTTGATACTAAGCCTGTGTCATACATTCTTGTACTTCTTAGGAGCCCACCTGGCTTCAGGTAACAGAAAATCAAACTATAGCAGCTTCCACAAATAAGGTTTTGTTTTTCTCACACAGCCACCAGTGCTGGCATTGATCCAGCAGCTCAGTGATGTCCAGCCAACATCTCTAGATTGTCTTGGGTTTCCCTCGTGAATACAAAATGGCTGTCCCAGCCCCAGCCATCTCATCTCCATTTAAGACAGGAAGGAGGGAGAAAGGAAGTGCCACCTATTACTGACTCTATTTTAGCAGGAAAATAATATTTGAGAAACTCCTTCTTATACGTCATTGATCAGTATTGTATCAAATGGAAGTTTTTACCTAAAAGGGAGGCTGGAGACAGTGGACAGAGTAGTCATGGTTCACTTGGACTGGGGCTGAACGTAGTGTCCTCTTGAAAATCTGGATTCTGTTGATAAGGAGAGCAGGAGGGGGAACACACATTGGAAAGCAGCTCACAGCATCTGCCCTGATGCTGTGTTACAAAATTGGGGGACCTGCATGGGGGATGGCATCTTCTCAGTGGAGGCTGACATGCCCTGTAACTGGGGACCCTGCATCTCATGGTCCCAGGTGGATAAAGCCGCCCTCATGAAACGCCACGAGCAAGGATGGCTGATGGAAGTGACCAGCAGCTTGGACCACTGCATTGAAAGACTCAGGTACAGTGCCTGACACATGAGTGTGGAAAAGTGGGGAGACCCCAAGAAGGGGCCTGGAAGCTGGGCTGCTTTACATGGGCCTGTTAAATGCCTTACACTCGGCCACAGGTGGTGCCTCACCAAGGGACCCCACAGAGGTGGGATGGTACTAACATCACAGGACCCACTGTGCAGTTTGAATCACGACCCCAAGATCAAGAGCTGCAGGCTCTGCTGATCGAGCCAGCCAGGCTCCCCTTCTAACTCCATCAGAATATCTCACTAGGGCCAGGGTGCAGGAAGCCCTGGAATTCCAGTACCTGGTGGTCAGACACTCATTGCTAAATGAGTTTCTTGAGGTTGAGCCACCGTTTTGCAAAGACTGTGCCTTGTATTTCTCGCTGTGGCCTCAGTGCCCAGCCGAGAGCCTGGCACATAGCAGGTGCTCATCTAATCTGCTGGAGGAAAATAAGCCTTTGAAAGATGGAACCGTTCCTCAGCACGACTCCAGGTTGGGTGTAAGCGGGTCTTCCTCCTCACTCATGCTCTGGTTCTCTGGGTGGAGGACAGGGGCTTGGCAACATTTCCCTCTGGTGTGATGTCTTCTAAGGTATTTCAGTGGGAATGGGGGAGGACTGCCCTGGGGGCGGCTCATCCAAGGTCATTTTGTTTGTTTGAGAGAGAGAGAGAGAACACTAGGGCAGGAGAGTGAATCCCAAGCAGACTTCCTGCTGAGCATGGAGCTGGTAGGGCTGGTCTCATGACACTGAGATCATGACCCCAGCCAAAATGGAGAATCGGACATTTCAGCTACTGTGCCACCCAGGTGCCCCTGGGGGCCGGTGTTTTGAAGCATCCTCTCAACTGATTTACTTTGCAGAACTGAGCTCTGTTTGGGGAGGACACACCGCCCAGCGGTTCTCTAGCCCTGCTGCAATTAGATTTGCTCAGGGCTCTTCAAAAGGGGCTTATAGGAAAATGTACAAGCACATGCTGAACTGGGAGATACTCCCATTACCAGGATCTTTTAAAAATCCTACTTTGACCCCATTGTACCCCTGTGTAAAACTCTCAGGTGAGTTTCCATTGCATATAGGAATATAGGAGAAATTCCAGACTTCTAGTGGGACATGGATGGGTCTGGCCTGATATGACTCCTATCCCTATTAATGCTGTTGAGCGTCCTGAACATACTCACACACTTGTACACATGTGCTTGCACTCGTACACACACACACACACACACACACACCCCGAAAGAATCAGGTTAGAGCTGTGTAACAGGGTGCCACAAGCAGCCCGTGGGGTTATACTTCTGCTCCCTGAGCTGCGGAAGACACAGTTGGGAGTGGATTGAACCTCTGGGAGTGGGGACCTTGTCCCCATGCTGGTCCTGCTGCTGAGATCAATCCCGTCTTCCTTCTCCACTGGTCACTGCTTCTGTGCTCCTCACTGCTCTGGGACCATATGCCTTTTCCCGCTTTGTTTTCTTCCACTTGGGAGCGAGGAGCATGTTGGTTCCACTGACATCTCTCTGCCAAGCGCAGTGTGTAGTCAACCTGCACCTTTGAGTGGGTGCCCAAGCTCCCCACGTACTGTTGTTTTCTGACACCTCTCCTACCTGTGGGGCTTCATGTATTAAATCTGTGTTTTTCTGTCTATTAAATATGCTGCCCTTTTTTTTGTCCTTTTATTTCTCCCAATAATGTTTGGAGTAATTTTTTTTTAAAGATTTTATTTATTTATTTGAGATAGAGAGAGAGAGTGAGCATGAGGGATGAGGAAGGGGAGAGGGAGAAGTAGACTCCCCGCTGAGCACGGAGCCCAAAGTGGGGCTCGATCCCAAGACCCTGAGATCTCAAACCGAGCTGAAGGCAGACGCTCAGTCAACTGAGCCACCCAGACACCTGTCTTTTTTTTTTTTTTTTTTTTTTTTTTTACAATTTATTTATTTTAGGGACAGAGAGAGAGTGTGAACACATGCAAGCACGGTGGGGATGGGCAGAGGGAAGGAATCTCAAGCAGACTCCCCACTGAGCATGGAACCCGAGGCAGGGCCCCTCTGTGGGGCTCAGTCTCATGTTCCTGAGATCATGACCTGAGCCAAAATCCAGAGTCAGACACTTAACAGACTGAGTCACCCAGGCGCCCCTGGAATCCCCTTTAGTGATGTCTGCAATTTTAGGATCACCTTGCATGAGTTCTAGAATGATCCCCAACAGAGCGCTAACAGCAACAGCCCTGATTCTGTGAATCCCCTGGAGAAGGCTTGTCGCTGTTGTCATCTCCGTTCTCTCGTCTGGAGCATTCAAGTCTGCTGTTACAGTTCCGGGTCCTCAGAAGACACGCCTCAGAGGTCGCTGCACCTCGGGCTGGATGCTGACACACACCGTGCTTTCTGTGACTTCCAGGCTCTTCGGCGTTCTCGCCAGCTTGGTGTTGGTGGTGGTGGACATCTGCGGGCAGGTGTGATAGGCCATCTGCTCTGCTCTTGTGCCCTTCTAGGGAAGCAAGGAAAAGGAAGGAGGTGCTCAGTCTTGGTTACCATGGCAATGTGGTGGATCTTTGGTGAGTGGGGGATGGGAGTTGGCAGCCTGGGGGACCCTGGGTGAACCTCCCCCTCCAGACAGGGTACTGATGGTGGCCATGTGCTCCCCGGACACAAAGCTTCTAAAATGTACTCAGCTTAAGCTCTGCTCCCAGTTTTCAAGGCCCAGATCCTGCCTGAGCTCATAGCAGACTTCCTGCAGATGTACCTTTGAGAGAGGAGGGCAATCTCCTCCCAGCAGGCCTGTGAACTCAGGCCCCAGGGCATGCTTACCCCTGCCCTGGGCAGATGCCTCCCACATTGATCGCCCCTTGTTTTCCCCAGGGAGCGCCTGGTCCACGAATTGGACACAACAGGGGAGCTCTTGGTGGACCTGGGATCAGACCAGACTTCCTGCCACAACCCATTCAATGGTGGTTACTACCCTGTGCAGCTGGGCTTCGCGGAGGCCCAGAGCCTCATGGCCTCTGACCCTGCTGCATTCAAGGGCCTGGTCCAGGAAAGGTGATGAGGTCCCAGGGCTACTCCGGGTGTGTGTGGTGTGGGGAGAGGGGTGCACACAGCTGGCAGGAGCTTTTGGACTGGTTGACTTTGGCCTCTGCCTGGTTCTCCAGGGGCCAACTGTGTGGCCTTAGGCAAGAACTTTAACCTCTCTGAATCTGTTTCCTCCTTTCTCTGATGGGAAGGAAACAGCAAAGCTGGCTGAGCCCTGTGGGGTGCGGTGGAGGGGTGACAGGGGTGAGGAACAGAGAGTCTGCTCTTGCGACTTCTCGGGGGGGTGGGGGACAGGGCTGACTGTGAACCACTGGGCTCTTGCAGCCTGAGGAGGCAAGTCTCAGCCATCAACAGACTGGCCAAGGAGAACTTCTTCTTTTGGGACTATGGCAATGCCTTCCTCTTGGAGGCCCAAAGAGCAGGTGAGACACAATGAAGGCGAGGTGAGGGGGCCCCCAGTCTCCGCAGGCTGGGAGGGGCCAAGACCCTGGCACTGGGCACTCTCCCTTCTCACCGGCCAGGAATGGACCTGGCAAGTGCCCGGGGGAAGAGGGGCACGGCATGCAGCTTTCCCTGTGCCCTTGCCCGGGGCCTTCTGGGAGCTGGTCCCACCAGGTCCTTGGCCTCTGGGCCTCAATTTTTCCATTTGTCTTAAGAACATCTGGTGCCACAAAGAGTTGGTAGGATGCTTGGATATAAGCTCCAGTGGGGGGAAAATATAGCTTAACTTTTCTGAGAAGGAAATTATTTTTTAAAAATGTAAATTCAATTTATTAACATACAGTGTATTATTAGTGTCAGAGGTAGAGGTGAGTGATTCATCAGTCTTATATAATAAATACCTCGTGCTCGTCCCATCATGTGCCCTCCCTAATGTCTGTGGGAAACTCTTCTGTAGTACAGGTGGCTCATGCTGGAAGGTAAAGTTCAGATGATACAAAACTACACAGAGGAAGGTGGCCCTCCCAGCCCTGTCCCTGCACCAGGTCCCCTCCTGGAGTTTGAAAGTTCTGGTGGGCCTTTGGGGGCACCGAAGGACCTGGCACGTGAGGGCAATGTGGACATGCCCCCGCCCAGCCCCCACAGCAAGGGCAGGAGAGCAACACTGCAGGAGTCCTCGCCTCGGGGCGGTGTGGCCCAGCCCTCAGACCCTCCCGCTGATTCTGTTCGGCTGACTCTGCCCACAGGAGCTGACGTGGAGAAGAAAGGTGCCAGCAAGACGGAATTCCGCTACCCCTCGTATGTCCAGCACATCATGGGGTAAGTGATGGGGTCACTTCCAGCCTCTGGGTCCTAGACACTCAGGTTGGGAAAGTCCTCAGGTAGGGAGAAACAGGAGATAACCCGAGGGAGATCTGGCTGAGTGGGGAGGCCTCAGGGTCAAACCCAGCAACTCAGGGACAGGGGATGGGAGGCCTCAGGATGCTTCTGGAAGGTTCACCAGCCCATTTGCACACAAGATGGGACCAGAGAGGGAGGGAGGGAAGAAAGGCGATGGTCTCCTTCTCAGGTTCACTGTGGGTGAGGAAGCAGAGGCTCAGGGGGCCACACTGCCAAGCTACATACAGCAGGGGGCTGTCCAGAGAGGAAGGTGGGCTCAGGGGACAGGTAAGGCCAGGGGCCTAGAGCCCACCTAGGAAGGTCAGTTCGCCTAAGGCAAACCTGGTCAAGGTCCCCATTTAATGTTGCTCCCAACTACTTCGATTTAGCTCATTGATTTTCAGGTTGTCTTTGTAACAACACTATAAAGGAATTTCTGCCTGTTTGTATCCCAGCTCCCTGCTCCTGCAGCAAGAAATGATGCAGATCTAAGAGGAGGGACAGAGAACCAGAGGGAGGGGAAACACTGAGGGGAGAGGGGTAACACTGAGGGCAGAGGGGCTGATGGGAAGGGGGGCATGATGTAGGAAAGATGTTAGGGTTGGAAGCCAATAGCCAAGAAATATTCCTAGGGACATCTTTGGTGCAAAAAGGTGGTTTTCTTAAAGCATGGGGACAGGACCCATGGGCAGAAAGAGCTGCATTGGTGTCATGAAGAGTGGCACATTATTTACTTTCAAGTTGGGTGGGGGTTAGGGGATAGCAAAAGCCTCTAAGGAATTCTGGAAGCAAGGTTTCCAGGACCTTGAGGAGGCTAACTGTTGTTGGGAAAAGATAATTTATTACTGTCTAATAAAACCTTAGTCGTGAGACCCTTCAGATGTATATCGGTGGGCCATATGCCTGGGGGGTGATTGCCAACATGTATCTTAGGGGATAGAGATAAAGGAAATTTCCAAAGGAATTTGTATATGTTAAAGTAGACTTACAGGATCCTTGGGGGATGAGTAGTTGGGCTAGGATTGTCTTTTGCCCTTAGTCAAGTATTAACATGGAGGCAGTTCAGTCCCTGGAAGAATGTAACTCTGCCTGTTTCAAGGACTTATCAATGGGCTGTAGGCGGTGAGGAAATTAAACCATTTTCCTTCTGCCTTTGTTTCCCACATCCGGGGGGCTGAGGGGAGAGGGGATCGAGGGGAGGAGAGAGGCTGAGAGGGAGGAGGGAAGGGAGACTGAAGGGAACTGGGGAAGGGAGGTGAGAGGGAGGAGGGAACAGGGGAGAGAGGCTGACGGGGCGGGGCGGCGCGGGGGGCGGGGGGCGGCTGAGGGGGAGAGGGGACCTGGAGGCTTCTAAACTTGCTCTCCAGTTAGTGGCTCAGGGGCTTCCAGCAACAATTCTGGACACTGGATAACTTCACTATGTGTGCCCACATCCACGCCCCGACACATCCCCCATATGCTGGCTGGGCATACTGCATACAACCTTCACCCCCTCTCAGTTCTGGAGCACCTGCAGGCCATGCCTCCTGGTTCACGGCGGCCCCGCCCCCATCAGTGGGGGCAGCCTGGCTAGGGAGTCCCGAGGCTAGGAGGCATTTTGTCTTTGCAGGGACATATTCTCCCTGGGATTTGGGCCTTTCCGCTGGGTGTGCACGTCAGGGGACCCCCAGGACCTGGCAGTCACAGATGAGCTGGCCACGTGCGTGCTGGAGAAGGCCATCGCTGATGGAGGTGAGGCTGTAGGACGGGCGACGCTGACAGGCAGGTGGCCCAGCAGCGGCTCCAGGGCAGCCCACCCCCTTGACGCGGCCCCCTTCTCCGCTCACCCCCAGCCTGCCGCCCCCGCCCCGCAGGCGCGAGCGCAGGGGGCCTCGGGGTCGGGCCTGTGCACGGTGCTCCTGGTTCTCGCACCTTTCTGCTGTGCCCGCTCTGCTTTCCCCGCGTCGGAGCTCCTGCGCCTGCCCGCGGCTTCTCCGATACACGGCGCGGCCCTGCCTTCCCGCGCGGATGGTAGTGGTTGACCCTTCACGGACGACCGGCCCCCGCCCCTGGTTTAACCTCAGTCCCTTTATGTGTAGTGGATTTGACGTGTCGCTTATCACGTGGAGAGGAGGAGACAAGAATTTTAGGAAACTTCCTCAGCCGTCCTAGCTCCTAACCCCACTTCTCCGCAGCCTTTCTGAAGGTCCCGGGCACCTTCTCGCCAGTTGTCGTGTGGGTCCTTCAGCCTCCGCGTCTCCTTTTCCGTTCCCCGGGACCGTTCCAGGCTCAGAGTATTGGGGCAGGCCCAGGTTACCCGGATGCAGGGTGGGCGTGCACCTGTGTGGGAGGAGCCGGGCGGGGCCGGGGCTGTGCGGGGAGGGTCGGGGAGGAGGCGTCGCTGGGGAGGAGGAAGAGGAGTGCCTGGAAGGCCTCCCGGGAAGGGGGAGGGAAGCAGCAGTACGCTGTTAGATATCCGGCCGGACGCCTTCAGGTGCTCGGGGAGCAGGCTGGCTGGTGGGTGTTCACCAAAACGCTCTCCCGGAGGAAGCCCTGAGCTGGTGCACCTCCTGGCCGCCGCGGTGTAAATACTCTGGTTTCCAGCGAGGCTGCACACGGAACGGCAGCCAGCTCTCCCCCAGACATGTAACCTCAAGAGCACAGAACCTGGTAAAAGGTAGTGAAGTAATTTGGCAGTGATGACTTGTGAGCATCGCCTTCATTTTTAATAAAAAATTTTAAAAGTGTGAGTTTTTTAAAAAAAGTCCCGAGGAACACAGCTACCCTCTGACTCCAGCTCGCCCTCCACACTTTACCCTACTGGCCTGTCTTACTGAGATAGGCCGAGCTTTGTTCTACCTTAGGGCCTTTGCATTTGCTGTTCCCTCTGCCTAGAGCACTGTTTCCTCAGATCTTTGTGTAGCTAGTTCCTTCTTAGCATTTAGGAGGTAGCTTGACCATTACCCCTGCAAAGACGCCTTTGGTCCCCCTGACACCCCCCCACCCACTGCAGTGAATACCTCACCACACTTTAATTTCCTCCCTGGCATGCAGCAGTCTCTGTTCCCAGTGCCTGGCACAGCACCTGGACTACACTGTGGACTCAATAAATGTTTGCTGAGGAAATGAATGTATTAGGCAGGGGGTCGCACACGTCTGTGTGTTAATCCATGTGACTGTTGGCATTACTAATTCCAGAATTCAGATGGCCTAGTGGGGTACTGAGGATGGGAGCTTCCTGACCCTGTGTCTGGGCTCCATGATGCTTGCAGAACAGATGTCTGCTGTGCTGAGCACTTGCCAGAGGGAGGGCCCATGCCTGAGCCCCACAGAACGGGGGCCCCTGGGGCCTGTGACACCCTGCTTTCTCCCTGCAGTGAACCCGGCTGTGAAGCTGCAGTATATGGACAACATCCGCTGGATCCGGGAGGCCGCCAAGCACCGGCTGGTGAGGGCTTGGCCTGGCGGGAAGCAGGGGTGGGCCTCTGGACTGCCCTCCCAGAGGTGGGGGGCTGGTATATATGAGCCCCAAGATGGTGCCAACATACCCTGTGAGACTGCTTAGGTGGCCGCGTCCTCGGCCTCATAGGAGGCAGTGGCAGCAGCCTCATCCAGCAGGCCTCCGAACAAAGAAGCCTGGTGCCTTTTGAATGGTGCCCTGGGGCCCTGGGGCAGTGACCAGGGTCAGTTAGGGCATTGCTCACCCAGTTACTCCACAAGTAGCTCTCTTGAGTCAGGCCTCCTGGCTTTTCCTCTGTGTGACCTGGGGTGAGTGGCTCAGTCTCTCTGAGCTTTCCTTCTCAGCTGTGCATTGAGATGCCAGTGACCGTGTGCACACCGGAGCTGTGGTGGTGCGCATACTTGGAGCAGGCCCTCTGGGACAGTCTGTGCACGAGGCACGGCTGGGCCCATGGCTGAGCAGAGAGGCATGCCGCTGCCTTGTGTCTGCTTACATGCACGTGAACACGGATCAAGGTGATGCTGGGTGGGGACTGCTTTATACAGACTGGTCAGAAAGGTGTCTGCGAGTATGGAGTATATAATAAGTATGGAGAACATAGTAAGTATGGAGCTGAGTTGTGAGTTTGGGTCTGAATGCTGGGAGTTTGGGGGATGGGGGAGCTGCCCTGTGATAGTCAGGGAGGCACAGGACCAGCGGAAGCACAGGCCCTGAGGCAGCAGCAGGCCTAGTGTACTGGGGACAAATGAAACACGAGCATCTGGCTCACATGCCTTTGGCCACAGACCTCGATGGCCAGACTCTGCCTGGTGGACACACGTCCAGACTAGTGTGTTCCTGGCCTGAAGGTCCTAGGGCCAGAGGGGGACTCCCTTGAGCACTGTCCCTGCGTCCTAGGCTCCTGGGGCCCAACACTACCCACCCAGACTCCTCCTTGGCCAGTGGTTGGCATGCGTGTTTCAGCCACAACCCCCGTGTCAACAGTGGTCTCTGTGACTGCTCAGAATCTGAGACGACCACCCCACTGTTGGACTTGAGAATCTGGGCTGTGGGGAGGTTGGAGCAGGAGCAGAAATGTGCAGGGCCAGTCTGGAGATGGCCTGGAGAAGACAAGGACCTGGCCTTGAGGGAAGGGTTCCCACAGAGCAGGAAGGGGCTGAGGGGAGGTTGGGAGGTCAGGGCCATGGGGAATGGCCCTCTGGATACCGCTACAAGGGTGATAGAGAAGCAAGACTGTCTCTTCTGTGTTTGAGTTGAAGTTTTCTGGAGGTTGTGTTCTCCATACTTATTTCACATTGCTCTTTGCCTTAGGGAAAGATGGTGATCACAGAAGGCCATCCTTTTTTTTAACATTTTAATTGAGTTTCTTTTAAGGTATACTCTTGATGAAGCTGGCAATCCTATGCCCATTCCTCTTTGATTTTCTTTTTCTGGATCCAAGACATCTGAAAATCTCTGCAGTGCTGATTTCTAGTATAGTCCTTCCCACAGGGCTCTGAGGCAGCTGGCAGGAGTCTAGTAAGGCCGTTAGCAAGCCACATGCAAGGGAGAAGCGGCTCAGCTCACTGTGCTGGCTGGTGCCGCGGCCCAGACGGAGCTGTTTTCCAGCTCAGGGTCAGGGCTGCGGCTCCCTCCGGCACCCACTACCGAACCTTCCACCCCATTCCAGGACGAGTGGCCAGGCAGCTGAGGGAAACACCGACATCCTCTTTGGAGAATCCAGGGTTTCCCAGTCTCAGCACAACTGATGTTTGGGCCAAATCATTTTTTTTTTTTTCAGTTGTGGCAATATATACATTACCATAAAGTTTTCCATTTTAACCATTTTTAAGGTACAACTCAGTGGCTTTGTGTACCTTACATTGCGTGCAACTATCACCCCCATCTGTTTCCAGACTTCTTCATCTTCCCAAGCTGAAACTCCACCCCCATTCAACATGAACCCCCATTCCCCTCCACCAGCCCCTGGCAGCCACCACCCTACTTTCAGTCTCTGTGTATTTGACTGCTCTAGGGACCTCATGTGAGTGGGATCGTGCAGGACTGGTCCTTGTGGGACTGGCTTCTTTCACTCAACATGATTTGCTCAAGGTTCATCCACACTGCAGTGTGTGTCAGAATTCCCTTCCTTTTCAAGGCTGAGTAATATTCCATTGTCTGCACAGAGTGTATCTATTTTGCTTGTGCATTCATCCATCAATGGACACCTGGCGTGCTTCCACATTTTAGCTGTTGTGAATAATGCTGCTGTGAACAAGAACTACCGCTAGCTGCCTCAAATATCAGTGCGAGTGCCTGGGGGCTGGATAAGTCTCCGTTGGGGCTGGGGGTCATGTTGTAGGATGGTTAGCAGCACCCCTCCCATGCCCATGCCAACTGCACCCAAATGTGTCTCCAGGCTTTGCCCCTGCTTGAGAACCACTGTTCATTTTCACTTGCTGCCGCTTCCGTTTCGTGGGGGCGACTTGTCTCACCCTCCAGAGGGGCTTCTCCCGGTGTTTCGGTCCACAGGCCCCTGGCCATGCCACTTACGGCTCAGGTGGTCGTGGGCAGGTGGCTCAGCCTCTGTGCCCCAGTTTTTTCATCTGTAAAGTGGAGCTGAGGATGAGGATCCCAGCACCTTCCTCACAAACGCACCAGTGAGTGACAGTGTGCAGAGAAATTGCGGCTGTGCTGGGCACAATCTGAAATTGCCTTAGGTGGTGTTCATATTCTTTTTATTAAGAGGACTCAAACCGGGGTATACTCCTAATAGGTAACACCCCTAGAGATGGGCAGGTCAGGGTTTCAGAGACCCCTCATGGGGTTAAGCCATGAGGTGCTTGATCACAGAGGGGCATCTGGGGGCACCGGCTGTGTGTGGACATGCAGAGGGTCAGCGTGGTAGCATGGGGGTGCTGGACGTGAGGGCCCGCCTCAGGCCCACAGACTGAAGAGCTATCACACACCCTGGGGTGCTCCACAACCTGCCTCGAGGGGACTATCTGGCTGCTGGTGGACCTATCACCCAAGTCGCTGCCTGCACATCACTAGGTCACCGAAGTGCCTCTTTTCTACCTTTTCCCCGCAGGTAGTAGGGTCCCAGGCGAGGATCCTGTACTCAGACCAGAAAGGCCGTGTGGCCATCGCTGTGGCCTTCAACCAAGCCATCGCCCGTGGGGAGATCAAGGTGACACATCCTGGGCTGTAGGCTGGAGGCCTCCCCTCGTCTCCTTGCCGTCAGCGCTGGCATGGCCCGGAGGCCCCGTGGTCTGTGTTTGTGTCAGGCTGGGGGGCAGAAAACTGGGGACCAGGAGTGTGGAGGCTTGTCCTCAAAGCCAGCCTCTGATGTGGTTCCTGCTGTGTGACCTTGGGCAAGTCAGCTGCTGTCTCTGAGCCTCAGGTGCCATTTTCTGTTAACCCCAAAGCCTAGGTGTGAGGATCGAGCGAGTCCTCTTTCTTGAATTACCTTTTTTTTTTTTTTTAAAGATTTTATTTATTTGACAGAGAGATCACAAGTAGGCAGAGAGGCAGACAGAGAGAGAGAGAGGGAAGCAGGCCCCCTGCCGAGCAGAGAGCCTGATGCGGGACTCGATCCCAGGACTCTGGGATCATGACCTGAGTCGAAGGCAGAGGCTTAACCCACTGAGCCACCCAGGCGCCCCCGAATTACCTTTTTTTTTTTAATTATCTTTTTATAAACCATGACAAACTTTCCTAGCTTTCCCCCATTTTCCTCCCAGTCAGCAGCCCACCATGGAGGACATGGAGCTCTGGGGACACCCATTTGGAAGGCTGTTCCGCAGAGCTCTTGCTGGTGGCCCTGGGTTTGGGAGTGCCAGTATTAATGATCAGCTGTGAAAGGGAAATCAGACTGATGAACATGATGCCTCTCCTGGTAGGTGGTTGTGGTGGTGGCAGGGACAACAGCCCTAGCCCATCTCAGGGAGCACTGCCCGAGCTCAGCATGCCTAGGAGGAGGGCTGGGGCCGCTCCGCCAGGACCTCTCTCTAGGCACACTCATGTCCAGGCTGTAGTTGGCCGGTTAGCACGGAGAGCAGGGAGTCTTTGTCATTCATTCCACATGCTTGATTGGGCACCTCTTCTGTGCCAGGCTTATTCTAAAGGACTGGGGACCCCATGGCAGAGGACAAAATAGACAGTGTCCCGTCCTCATCCACACACTAGGGAAGGGAAACTGATGATGCAGGATAAAGGTGTAAGTTCAGAGGGAACATCAGATGGTGATGAACATGAGAAGAAAGTGAATGGTGGTGATGGGGTGTGGGTAATGGGGTAGAAGTGGCAGGGAGGGCATGAAGAGTTGGGAATGAGTGGTGGCTTTAGACAGGGTGGGGATGACGGGGTGCAGGTGAGGGGTGGGAATGAGTGTTGACTTTAGACAGGGTGGTCAGAACAGGTCTTCTGAGTTAACGGCTGTAGAACTGAGAGCTGAATATCTGGAAGGTGCTAGAATCTCTGGGGGATGGCAGTTCAAAGCAAATGTGAAGAGCAAGCTTGGCCTGTTCAAGGAAGGGAGAAGAGGGCCTCTTAATTCAGAGCAATGAGGAGTTCCCCTTTCAGCAAGATATCTCCTCTTACACAGGGAGCCTATGCAATTCTATGACCACTGGGGAGGGCCCTGAAGACCAATGCTCATAGGGCTAGCCATGGTTCCTTTGTGAGACACTCAAGAAAGATCCCAGGTTGGTGCTGGGAAGAGCTTGCTCGTTGCAGCTGTGGGCTCCACTGCCTTCCTCCTCCTGAGGACAGCCAAGTGGAAGGTGTAACTGGGTCAGACTAGCACTCACCTCATGCTTGTGGGCACAAAATGTGCCCCTTTGCCCCAGCCCCTTCACCTCTACCACTTAATTTTTCCAGTTAGAACTTTTTTTGTAATGGAACCACCCTGTGCCTGGCACAAGGGAGCCTGGTTGGCCTGTCCTTAGCCATGGCCCCACTCAACCATCAGGGCTGCACTGTATTCTGTCATTGGGGTGCAGAGCTGCCCACCTCCTGGCAGCACATCACAGACTCCCAAGCAGACTGAGATCTTTCGGGAACAGGAAGAATTGCCAACACATGCACTTGAAAAATTAAACCCCCTGTGTTTTCACCATGTGAAAAATCTCTGTCCTCACAGAGAACGGCAGCACAGAAAGGATCTTGGTGATTTCCTTGTCCAGAAAACCAAGCCCCAGAAAGGAAGCATCCACTCGGCACGCCTGGGCTATCTGTCTGCCCCTTTCCTTAGAGCGCAGACTCAGGGGAAAGCCCAGATTCTAGTATATTGTGTATGGATTTAAATCCCAACCTGTCCACTCACCAGCTCTATGTCATTGGGCAAGTTTCTTTTCCTCACTGGGCCTCAGTTTTCCTGACTATAAAACAGGCATGGTAACAGGCATACCTATCTGGTTAGAGTGGTTGAGACTACCCAGTGAGCCAACACGGACATAACACGTGGGTGGCCTGCACGTATAGAAAGCACCCAATCTGTGGAATGAATCTGTTGGTAGCTACAGGAAGCCATCAGAAAAATCTATGCTTCCTCTTGTTGAGGAAGGTATATTTCCTGGGGGAGCAATCTGGAGGGCTTCTGGTGTGTGCCAGGCAGCTATGGTAGACACTGTCTGCCTACATCTCATTTCCTTCCCTGCTGCAGGCGCCGGTGGTCCTGAGCCGAGACCATCATGATGTGAGTGGCACGGACAGCCCCTTTAGGGAGACCTCCAACATTTACGATGGCTCTGCCTTCTGTGCAGGTGAGAAAGACAAAAATATTTTTTTAATTGTTTTTATGTTGGATTTGATTTTGTTTAAAAATCAATTGATTCATTTCAATCAGTCATAATGATGCAAAAAAGGTTCTGGCGTCTGAGAGACTTGGCATAGGGTGACCAGCCTAGCACACAGGGGTTTTTGGGATCTGGGATTTCTGGTTTTAAACTGGGCTTGTGTCAGGCAAAATGGGACAGTTGGATGCTGTAGACTCAGGTGTGTTCCTGACCCTGTCACTTGCTAGGTGGTCCTCAGCAAGACACTTCTAGTCTCCGAACCTCAATTTCCTTATGTGTAAGATGGAAATAACTATAGTACCTACTTCAGAGGTTTGTTGTGAAGAATGAGATGAATTAATACGTGTGCAGCTTTAGGTTGATGTCCTGCAGCTGGCGTTCAATGAGGTTATCTGCTGCACCTGATGTTACTGTTTCTGCTTCTAAACCTACTACAGTTATAATCACCACAGAGGCTGGTGGGTTCTAGTCCTGGCATAGCTTGTTCATTCCCAGTACTTGGGGGTTCCTTCCATTACGGATGGGATCTCAAGGAAAGGAGGTACACACTCAGGAACCCCATCTGCATCACTTTTTTTAAGGAGTTGATATATTTCATGTAAGTTATCAAATTTATAGGTATAGAGTTGTATTCCTATATTTATCTGTCTAATGTCTGTGGGGTCAGTTGTCATGTCTCCTTTGTCATTCTTGATATTGGTCATTTGTGTATTTTTTCTTTCTTCTTGATCAGTCTGGCTGGAAATTTATCAAATTTGTTGATCTTCCCCCCAAAAAGAAGCTTCTGGTTTCGTTCATTTTTTTTCTATTGTTTTTTGCTTCCAAATTAATTGATTTCTGCTCTAATCTTTAGTATGTCCTTCCTTCTACTGGCTTTGAGTTCGACTTGCTCTTCTTCCTCTGGCTTCATAAGGCAGAAGCTGAGGTTACTAAATTGAAACATTTTTTTTTCCTAATAGAGGTATTTAATGCTCTAATTTCTTTTAAACACTGCTTTAGCTGCATCCTGCCAATTTCTATAAATTTTCATTTTCATTCAGTTCAAGATATTTGTTAATTTCCCGTAAGACTTTCTCTTGTATCCATTGGTTACTTGAAGTATCTTTGTAATTAATTAAATTTTTTTTTTAAGAAAGAGAGTGTGTGAGTACAGGGGGAAAAGGACACACACACACACACACACACAGAGAGAGAGAGAGAGAGAGAGAGAGAATCTTTAGCAGGCTCCATGTTCAGTGCGGAGCTCGAAACAGGGCTCAATCTCATGACCCTGAGATCATGACCTGAGCTGAAATCAAAAGGAGGAAGCTTCACTGACTGAGCCATCCTGGCACAACTAGAAGTACCTTTTTTTTTTTTTTTTTCCAAAGATGTTATTTATTTATTTGACAGAGAGAGATCACAAGCAGGCAGAAAGGCAGGCAGAGAGAGAGGAAGGGAAAGCAGGCTCCCTGCTGAGCAGAGAGCCCGAAGCGGGACTCGATCCCAGGACCCCGAGATCACGACCCGAGCCGAAGGCAGCAGCCCAACCCACTGAGCCACCCAGGCGCCCCTAGAAGTACCTTTTTAAATTTCCAAGTTTTAGGAGATTTTTCAGATACCTTTGTTACCGACTTCAGGTTTAATTCCATTATGGTCTGAGGACTTACTTTATATTTGTTCTGTTCTTTTAAAATTGTTAAGGGTTGTTTGGTGGCCAGAAGATGGTCTATCCTGGTGCACTTGAGAAGAATATATGTTCTGTGTTATTTGGTGGATCCTGCAGATGTCAGTTAGGTCCGGTTGGTTGATAATGCTCTTCTGGTCATCTGTATCCTTATTGATTTTCTGCCTAATTATTCTGTAAAATACACAGAGAGAGAGTGGTGAAGTCTCCACCAGTGTTTGCGGATTTGTCTGTTTCTCCTTTAGGGTCTTCAGCATCTTTGCTCCAAGTATTTTAAACCTATGCTGTTAGGTGCACACTCGTTTCAGTGTCTGATGTCTTCTTGGAGAACTGACATCTTTATTATTGTGTCATGTTTCTCTTTGTCCCGAACAATATTCCTTGCTCTGAAATTCTCTGATATTAATATAGTTTATATTCATACCTGCGGCCACTGTAACAAGGTACCACAAATTTAATGGCTTAAAACAACACAGATGTGTTCTCTCACAGTTCTGAAGGCTGGAAGTCTGAAATCAGATCTGGTGAGCTGGGCCGGGACATCTAAGGAGGTCCTAGAGGACGATGTTTCCCGACCTTTATCAGGTTTTAGGGCTGTGCTTCTTGCATTTCACAACCCAGTATAGGGAGGAGACTGTTCTTAGGATTCTCCCTGATCTTCTCTGGGAATACCCAGCTGGGTTTTGGGAAGAAGAGCCTGCTAGGACACGCACACCTTCTTATATCTGTGTCCCAGAGGCCTCAAGATTTCAGGCAAGCTCATGCTTGTCCTTTAGCAATTTGTTAGACACACGTGTAAGGTAACCAGATTCTCTGTGCAAGGGCCTCTCTCTCCCCAGATTGTAATGAGTTGGTTACCCTGGGACCTCAGTTCTCTGATGGGGTCAAGGACAATCACTAATTTGTAGTCACTTATTTTTTGTTGTTTTTATTTCGTTTTAAGGGTGGGAGTGACTCTCTTGGCTCTCTGCATCTATGGGCTAAAATCAGTACCACCATCCCTTTAATTCTTTTGTTCTTTCTGCTTCTGGAGCACTTTATCTGGCCTTCAGCGCTGGAGGGCGTAACTGTACAGGCTAACAGTGGGTACTTGGGCACTTGTCAGTACTCCAGCTTTGTGTGGCTCTGCAAACATACATTGTGGGTATTTCTAGAGTCTGTCCTTCAGGCCCCACTCAGCCCATTGTCTCCCGGGTCAGAGCCTGGCCTGGCCTCTAGCCCTTGGCATTCAGGGAATAATGGGGCGTGGCTCTGTTTCTGCAGACATGGCTGTGCAGAACTTCGTGGGAGATGCCTTTCGCGGTGCCACCTGGGTCGCTCTTCACAATGGCGGGGGTGTCGGCTGGTAAGGTTTTTGGAGAACTGGGTGCTGTGGGTGTGGGCTGGTATCGAGGTCTCAGGAGTTCCCTCGAGGGTCCTGGGCCCTGCCTCCCCTGAGCTCCCTCTGCTAAGGCCTTTACTGTGATGTGTTCCTCAAGTGAGCTGGAAATCACAGGACATGGCCGAGCCACTCTACTTTTCAGGGTCTTACCTGTCACATTGGACACAAAGTCTGTAAGAACCGTCCCTACCCTTATCCTGTCCATTTTCCCTTTACTTTCCCAGATGTTTTCTCAGGAATTCTCAGTGCTGTCCTAGCCCAGGCCTTCTTCACTGATGTGTGTCCTGGGCAGCTGGGCTGGGAGGCGGGAGACCTGGATTCTGGGCTCCTGGGTCCCTGGCTCACAGCTCTGCCCGGCCAGGCCTGTTTCCAGTCTGTGTCATGAGGAAATTGGGGTTCGCAGGTGGGTCTTATTCCAGCTGACAGTGGCAATTCCATCATAAAGAGGTGTGCTGTTATTCTGCACTCCTAGTTCTAACATGTGGGGTTTTCCCACACCACCAGGCAATTCTTTGACGCCCAAATGGGTGTCCACCATTCGACTCAATTCTGACACTGCTCAGAGACAGTACCAGATCCCACAGGGTCAGGGCTCAGTCCCACAAGGATGCCACCACCCCAGATGCCGATCACAAGTCTGGGTTGTCACCTGTGCATCTGACCGGTATGCTGCAAATCAGAGGTTCCCACAGTAGCCTCCCTGGGTCCCATTAATGTGCTTGAGCAGCTCATAGAACTCAGGAAACCGGTATATTCACTAGATTACCAGTTTATTACGGAGAATATCAGTGGGTACAAGTGAATAGCCAGCTGAAGAGATACAGAGGGAGAGTTCCCAGAACAAAGGAGCTTCTGTCCTTGCAGAGTTTGGGGCCTAGCACTGTGGCACGTGGGAGTGCTCTGGTTCCCCAATCTAGGACCTCTCCAAACTTATCCTTTTAGGTATTAATGGAGGCTTCATTATTTAGGCATGATTGACTAAATCATTGACCCCAGATTCAACCTCCAGCCCCTCTCCTTTCACTGGAAGTCTGGGGCGTGGGACTGAAAGTTCCAATCCTGTAATGATATGGTTGGTTCTGCTGGAAACTAGCAACCCCCCCCCCCATTCTTTAAATGCAATCCAAAAGTCACCTCATTCACATAACAAAAGAGACTTTAACCACTCTCAATGCTTACAAAAGTCCAAGTTTTAGGAGCTCTGTGCTAGAAATGGGATGAAGACCAAATATATAACTCATTATAAATCACAATATCACATCCACAAAGAATAATGAATAACTAATATTTATTGTACAAGGATGGTGTGGCAAGCATTTGCTAAACTCTTTGAATATACTCTCTCACCTTATCGTAGAAGAAAATGCATTTTACAGTTGAGGAAACTTAGTGACCTCCAGCTGTCCCAGCTGTCCCCTCTTCCCAGCCTGGGAAGCCAGCAAGTCTGGGCCCTGGCGCCAAGCTGGACTCCTGGCTCTCTGGGCCAGCAGGGGGCGCTGCGGCTTCAGAGAGGAAGGCCGCTCCCTGGCCGCCCGGCTCTGAGCAGACCTCTGAGCCTGTTCTGGCCAGAGGAGCGTGGCCTTGCCCTCCGCAGCCAAGTCCCTCGGCACTGAGCTTCCCAGAGCATTCCCCTGCGCTGGCTTCAAGGCCGGAATTCCGAGCCGTAGCCCAGTCAGGCGGCTCTAATTAATGGAAAATGTGACGGGCGCGTGAGTTCTTTCCGATACCCAGGCTGGAGAAAACCAGGACAGAGAGTGCCTAGTGGAGGGGTACCTGGTGTTTTGTCACTAGATGCTGAATTGGTGCTGGAGGTGACGAGAATAAGGTTGAGTAACATGTCCAAGGCCACAGAGCTGGCTGGCAGTGGAGCCAGGATTCGAATCTAGATCGGTCATCTCCCAGGATCCACCTGTCGTTGCCAGCTGAGCCACGGGAGCAAGAGGGATCAGAGCAAAGCTGGCCCAAGAAAGCATCCCGACATGAGGGCTTCGGGGCAGGAGCCCCAGCATGGGGAGTTCCCAAGAGAAGGAATACTCCCTGCTGATTCCCAAGTTGCTCCCACCCTTTGGCTGCCCCTAGGCTCTGCAGACAGGACTGCACACACCCACATAACCTAATCCGTCAGATGCTCCTGCAAGGCTTACTGCAAAATCAGCAGGAGAAAAAATCTGCACCTCAACCATTCCTGTTCCGGGAGGAAATCACTTTCCCCTCGTCAGCTAATTTTTTTTCTTTGTCCTACACAAATCCATTTCTGAGTTACAAGCTTTTTCTGCTATTTTTTAATATGCTTTCAGTATTTATTTATTTGGCAGAGAGAGAGGGAGAGCAAGCTGGGACAGGGGGGAGGGGCAGCGGGAGAGGGAGAGGCAGGCTCCCTGCTGAGCAGGGAACCCAACTTGGGGCTGGATCCCAGGACCCTGAGATCATGGCCTGAGCCGAAGGCAGCCGCTCCACCATCAGAGCCACTCAGGCGCCCCTGCTTTCAGTTTTTGTATCATCTGCTGTTTTCCTGTTTTGGAGCGCTTCTGTTTCCAGGACAGTTCGCCTCAGCTATGTGTCATCTTCCTCTTTCTCTGCCTCCGTGGAGCCCCTCTTTCTGGTTGCTTGCTTGGAGTCTGTGCTCATGCTGTCTGTCCAGTGGTCCTTGCTGTCTGCTGGTGTTTCAAGAGGGTGCCCACAGCCCAGTGTGTGAACAGGGACCTTTGGACCATGGGCTGCAGAGCAGGAAGGGTCAGCAGTCGGTCTCTGGTTTTAGCCTGGTTGGTCTGCTGGGTAAACACAGGTGTCGTCTCCTGTCCTTATAGGGAGGTGGTGGCCACCAGCCAGTCACTAATCGTCGCTGCCAGCCTATAAAGCAGTTGTGCATCTGGATCCCAGGTGATGTGGCTTCTGCTGGCCTGAGGATCGGTCTGAGGACTTGCAACGTTCTCGCCCTCCATGTACATAAATCTCCTTGGCCTCCACCCCCAGGGCAGCGGGGTCTCTTCGATGTAGAGTTTCGTGGCACAATTGACAGCATGGATTCTGAAGTTGACTTTTCTGCACGTGTTAAGCTTGTTGAACTTCATTTCTCATTGACAAAATGCTCCTAGTAATAGCAATGGCTTTATAAGCTGGTGGTGAAGATTAAATAGTAAATGGCTAACTCTCATAGTATCGTATGCAACAGGTACAAGGCCTTCTAGACTGACATGCTAGCTCGCCTGATCACCACAACAGTCCCCTGTAAGAAATAGCTGCTACCTAGGTGGAGAAATAACTTTGCCCGGGTTTCAAAATGAGCTCCGTTTGCAGGAGGCCTGGCCCGAATGCACGTGCTAACCTTACCCCGTGAGCTACCTGTAAGGGGACTAGAGCAAGGCCAGGGAGTGGCATGCCTCCCATAAACCTTAACCTTACCAGGTGTAAAAGTTCCAGTTTGCGTAACCTCAGCACCCTGGGTGTTACCGCGTGGGATTTGCCAGACTGGTGGGCAAGGAGTGACAAATCCTTGTTTTGATTTGACTTGCTTGCTTCCAGTTTTTGTTTTGGGTTGTGCGATTTTTCTTATGGACTGGCTGTTCTTGTTCTATTTTAGACATAGGATGCTGGTCTTGGGTGCACGTCCCTTGTGTTTGAACATCATCTATAGTGTCTGTGCTGGTTGGGTTTTCCGGGAGGCAGAAGCTGAGGTGGAGGTAGAGTGTGTAAAAGGCTTACTGGGAAGACCACCTGAGAAAGGAAGTGGGGAGCAGGAGCGAGGGTGCCCTCAGTCTCCACGCACACCCACCAGCCTTGCCGCCTAGCGGTGGTGGGGGGCAGATTCTGGGCCCAAGAAGGCCATCGAAGGACCCACTTAGGGTAGAAATGGGCAGGCCCTCGCCATATTAGTGCTCTGTCTCTGCCCTGAGAAAGACCCTAAGGAGTTACTGCTGGAGGCTGTGAGCTAACCACGTCCCCCACAGCCAGGCTTTCCAGAAGGCTCACCCATGTAAGCCTCTCTTTAAAGGGAGTTTTATCTTTATCTAGTGACTTCTTATTCTGGCTCTTCATTTTTTTTTAAAAGATTTTATTTATTTTAGAGAGAGAGAGAAAGAGAAAGCATGCGTGTTAGCGGGGAGAGGGGAAAGGGACAGAGCGGATGGGAGAGGGAAAAGGAAAAGAGAGAATTCCGGAATCCCAAGCAGACTCCCCGATCAGCGTGGATGATACAGGGTCTCACAACCCCAAGACCATCACCTGAGCCGGTACTAAGAGTCTGGTGCTTAACTGACAAGCCACCCAGGCACCCCAAGGGCCCTTCGTTTTTTAAACATTGCTTTAAAAGACATTCCTCCTCCTTCTCAAGTTAAGAAAATGCATGCTCCTAAACTTTCTTTACTTACTATCTAATTTTGAATTTTTCCTTCTTTAGTACACCTGGCACCAGTTTTTATTTGTGTGACATGGGGCTCTACTTCTGTTTTTCTCAATGGGACAGTTAGTTGTCCCAGTTCCATCTATAAGCAGCCCCCCGTGCTCTGCGATGGTGGTGCTGCCTTTATGGTCCCATCTTCCCGGGCTCAGTGTGCGTGATGTGTGGGCAAGGTTTGCTGAGGTAGCATGGAGCTGAGCAGCTTTGCTCTCTAGCAGTCTGGGCTACAGGCTCCCAAAACAGAAAATGAAGTTCTCATCTCCAAAAATCCCTCTCTGGTCGAAGGACACACTGAAGTCCTTGTTCGGCAGCACTGGCTGGCATCTGCTTTCCCTCGTGTCACCCAGCATCAGTCCCTGATAGGTGATGACTGATGGTGACCTTGAATCCACCTGGAGGCTGGTGGGAGATGTGATGGGACCCTGGGGGCAGGCACAGGGCCACCCAACTCTGGGACATGGGCTGAGGGCAGCGCAGGGGCCGCCGCCTGTTCACAGAGGTACTTGACTCTCACGTCGGGAGTGGGGAGCACAGCTGGCTCCTGCGGCAGAGGGCTCCTCACCTTCTTGGTGGGAACTGGCTGAAATTGTCAGTAGAGCCCAAATGGGGCAGAGAAGCAGGTAAGGCCTGAAGGATCTGAGACTAGAGAAGCTAGGTGCCTCTTTTGGGTGCAGGAAGGAGGAAGAGCAGATTCTCTGGGAGCAGGGACTGAAAGGCCAGATGCTGTGTTCCCAGGGGTTTGTGTTGGGCAGTAAGGCCTTGGCAGGTGCTGACAAGAGGTGGGGCATTTCCTGTGTTTGTAATGGAAGGGGGTGGGAGGGGTATAGTGATGCTATCAGCAGGAAGGGCAGCCAGGCCTTGTTCATGATGCTAAGGGTGAGGATAGAGATCCAGGGGTGCCAGGAAGGAGAGGATGCCCACAGTCGATGGCACACATGAGGAAAGTCAGACTGCACTGACATGCTTCATTAAGATCCCCACGACACCTACTGCAGAGATGAGTGAACACATGACCGTATCACGTCTGCGAGGGGAGGGAGTCCAGAGCCCAGAGAAATCTGGTCGTTAGAAAATAAGAGATATAGAAAATAAAGGAACTTGGTCTTCAGATCAAGTTATCAGGACCCCAAAATGCACCTAAAGCAAGCTGAAAGAGGAGGCAAAGGAAAGGAAGAGCATAAAGAAAAATCAGGTAGAATGACCGTTGAATTGAGCAGCCCAAGAGCCCCCCAGGGAAGCATGGGATATGGAATGCTCTCAGAACCTCAGAGAAGGAGGTCATGTGGGGAGGTAACATGGTTGAGGGTCCTGAGGGTGGGTGTGGGGTGCACGGAGTAAAGACTGGAGGTGCAGGTGGGGAATGTGCAGCCCAGTGATTCCTGTTTCCCTGAGGCCAGGGAGAGGACACAGGCTCCAGGCTGCAGCAGCCACCCTGCCTCTGTGAGCCAAGGCTTCCAAAGGGTTCCCCAAATGTGTGTGTGCTTCCGTCCACTCCAGGCAAGGGCAGGCCTGGAGAGTGGCCTGGGAACCTCTTTGCCTCTTACAGGGGTGAGGTGATCAATGGAGGGTTTGGCCTCGTGCTGGACGGGACCCAGGAGGCTGAGCAGAAGGCCAGGATGATGCTCAGCTGGGATGTCTCCAATGGAGTAAGTCACATCCAGTCCTTTCCCGGGCCTTCTCTGGGGACAGTTCTGTCAGGCCGAGCCTCTCTCACTGCTCTGCTCACTCTGACCTCTGACCTCTCTGGCTGTGCACGTGCCCGTGTGGCCCTGCTGGGGCTGGGAGGGGGGCGTCCTCCCTCCCCATGACCACATCACAGGCCAAGAGAAGAGGTGGTGAGCACAAGGCGGCCAGGCAGTCATGGGGAGGGTATTTGGGGGCAGGTATGCGGGGGATGGGGAGGGGTTCAGTGTGCCCCAGGCAGGACCCAGGCAGCTGGAGTCAGGTGAGGGGGTAGCATGAGAGTGGGGATGGAGGGGCCTCTGGAGGGGCGCTAACCAGTAGAGGGGGTGGTGAGGGCCACAAAGCTGTGAGGGGAAGGATGAGGGGCGGCAAGCATGGCAGCAGGGAGGGCGGGGAAGCCCTAAGGCCTGAGGTAGAGAGAAGGAAACAGACTGGAGAAAGATTCTGGGGCAGAACTGGGATGGATGTGGATTCCCTTAGGGAGGATGGTTCCTGGATACTTGGACATGGGTTAGGCTGGGTAGAAGGTTGGCAGTTTCAGATCAGGGAGGGGGCTAAATTCATAGTTCAGCCAAGAGAGAGGGGGTTCTGAGCTAGAGGTGGGAATGGGGTAGACGTCCAAGACTGCTGGCCCCACGCACAGCACAGAGGGACCCTGAAGGGGACGAGGGCGGGGATTTGCAGCCCAGCTGCGGGGTGTCCAGAAGGCCCTGTTGGGAAGCTGGTGTTGGCACCAATGGCTACCCTCTTCCCCCCATCCCCCACCGCAGGTGGCTCGGCGCTGTTGGTCTGGGAACCAGAAGGCCTACGAGATCATCTGCCAGACGATGCAGGACAACAAGGGCTTGGTGGTGACGCTCCCCCATGAGGTGGCAGACGAGTGCGTGCTGCAGCAGGCCCTGTGGCCATGAGGGGGCCTGAGAGCCGGCCTTGCTTCCCTTGCCCCCTTGATTCCTGTCCCCACCCCCACAGCCACAACACACCTGTCACTGCACACCTTTGTCTCCCGGGTTAGCAGTTTCCCACACAAACCCTCACTTGACCTCACGACTCCCTGGAGGGCGTGGCATGGGACCATCCACCATTTACAAATGAGCCAGCTCAGGCCAGAAGAGATGGGAGTGTTTGCCCCTGACCTCTGGGAACCCTGGGAGGGCGTGAAAGTCTGGTCCAGAGCTCAATCCTCTAGCTCGCCATAGAGTAGACTCCAGGAACTTTTGGGGGCTGTGCATGCCACAAATACTGGGTATCAACCAAGTCCCTTCAAAACCCCTGCCTCTCCTGCTACCAAGGGGCCAGGGTTTCCTTTGGCCAGGTTTTTATCAGTCATTATGCCTCCTGTCCACCTTCCATCCACGCATCCAGATATCTTTCCATCTGCTGGCCTGTCTAGCTGTCTGTGATATACTTTTTACCCCTCAGTGCCTCCAGCCATGGGCCCAAAGGAACATGGTTAGGCGCTGGGTTCGAGGGTCCATGAAGGAAGACAGGGCAATAAAGGATTAGGAAAGAAAGAAGCCATGTAAGGTGTCACGAGCAGAATGGCCATGGGCTGGTGGGATGGGGGCAGACAGGGTCCTGCCCTAAAGGGACAGTGATATTTTGTGAGAAAAATGAGAGAGGAGGGGAGCCCCCGACTGCTGGCACAGCATGGAGTGCAAGAAAATGCAGCCCAGGGGCGCCTGGGTGGCTCAGTGGGTTAAGCCTCTGTCTTTGGCTCAGGTCATGATCCCAGGGTCCTGGGATCAAGCCCCCCACCCCCCACATTGGGCTCTCAGTGGGGAGCCTGCTTCCCCCTCTCTCTCTGCCTGCCTCTCTGCCTGCTTGTGATCTCTCTCCCTCTCTCTGTCAAATAAATGAATAAAATCTTAAAAAAAAAGAAAAAGAAAATGCAGCCCAGTCCCTTTAGAGGGAGGTCCACTCCAGAACCCTTTTTTGCAATCAGGTGTCCTGCAGGAGCGCTGCTGGGCCTGAGGCTGTATTCCTGCACCTCCCCCACCCCAGATCTCTGATCCCTACAGCGGCTGGACCCATACATAGCCCAGGCTCAGATTCAAAGCGTCCAGACAAAGGGGGTTATGTGGCCATGCTTTTCCAGGCCTTCCTTTTGAAGAAAGCACCCCCCCCTTTTTAAGGATTCCCCTACTTTTAGGGCTCCCTTCTGCCTAGTGCCTCAACTCCTGGTTGCCTACTGCCCCTGTCCTCTGGGGTGCTGCAGGATTTGGGTGTGAGTGGCTTTCCCCATGTGACCACCTAGCTCCTTGAGCTGATACCAAGGTAGGAGGAGGAAATAAAGTAGCAGTGGGATGGGTGGTTGGGAGAGAGTGGGGAGAAAAACCCCCAAAGACAGCACTACCCTCTGATGGCAGTGAGGACATTGTCTTATTTGGGTCACACTGGGGGACCCAAACCAAACCCTTTGCCTTCTTCAGAACAAGCCCCTTTGGGGAGGGGACTTCTAGCTCCTCCCTCTAATCCAGGGCAGACCATGGCCTCACCCTGCTGTGGGACCAAACCTGGGAGATGGGGTTGAGGGGGCAGGGGAACTGGCGGACTGCTTCCCTGTCCTTAGCAATCAATGAGACATCCCCTTTCCTTTGTTTAAAATTGAAATATAGTTGATGCACAATGTTTCAGTAGTAGTTGCAGGTGTGCAACACAGTGATGGGACAACACTTCCCCTTTCCTTTGTAATTAATTAGGTTTTAGAAATGAAATGCCAAGACTCTGATAAAACTTTGATCTGTTTAATTTTGTTTATTTACTGGAGAAGGATTATAGAGGCCAAAACTTGCCTTCTGGAATCCCAACGTATGAGTGTGTTTCTTTTATAAAATAAAAAATTATCCTAAATTAATAGGTAGATGTGGGGACCTGGCAGTGCTTAGCTTTCTCCTAACCCTGCCTGCCTGCTAGAACCTTGGGGACCTTGGCCTCTCTGAACCTCAGTTTTCTAAGCTGTATAACAGAGTGTAACACCTGCATCTCAGTCAAGGGGTGACCGTGGTTCTGCTTTATTCTCACCCAGGTTATCAAAAGGAGCCAAATGAAGGTTTGAATTTCCTGCCCCTCTTCTTCCATCCTTCTCACCCCACATACTGATGTTGGGCCCTGCTCCCTTCCCTGTAGACATGCAGGGCCATGCAGGGAGTCAGGCTGAGGTGGCCCCACCACACTTGCCGGCTGTTCAGGCCAGGAGAAGCCCCCATGACCTCACCGTGCAAAGCAGAGCACCTTTGACTGTACACCTCCTTCTCATTATTGCCTCGCCTTAGATCAGTCGCTGGAGCTCATTGACAAATGACCCACCTTACACAGAGAATTTAGAAAGCCACTGGGGGAACCTGACACCCCTCCCCCTCTACACCTGCAAAGGGGAGGCCTGTCTAGCTGGGCTCTGTGTCTTTAAACACTAGCTGTTTGTCTCCTCCCTAGTGGCCATTTCCTCCTTTTCCCTTACTTGTGAAGCCCCGGTTTTGTCTGGGCTGTAGTATATACATCACCCCATAGTTGATTTCAGGACTGCTTTATTCTTAGGAGTGACCATTGGCCGAGTTCTGGCCATGAGACAAGGTGGAAGTAGGACTTCTGGGAAAGCTGTTGCTTCTTTAATAACAGTGGACAGGCGAGGCTGGATTGCTTTTGGCCCTTGCCCCCTCCCCCTGCCAGAACCTCAGGTGTGATGCCCAGAAGCATAGCAACCCTGCTGTGACCACAATGACTGCAGAAGCACGTAGAGGATGCTCATGGAAAGACAGTGGTGCCCGGGCTCCTGGCAGTGTGTGAAGCTGCTGTGCTAGCCCTGCTGGTCCCACTCCAGCCTCTACCATCCTCACCTGTTAAAGCCGTCCCAGTTGGGCTTCTGCTGTATGCCACAAGCTCAGTTCTAAAACCTCCCATGGTCTGTCCACAAGTCTCCAAGGAAAGCACTCTGGTGCCTTTTATCTGTGTGAATATTCCCTCTTCCTTCAGAGAAACAAAGAGGGTATGTCCAGTGTTAAGACCAGGACTGTCCTTTTCCCATTCAGCACCTTCCTTTAAGAGCAGGGAGGCAGGGCTCAATGGCCAGCCTCAGGCCATGGCTCAGGGGGCAGCTAACCATGTACAAGGGCCTTGGACCCTCTCTTGGCTCCACTCCAGCCATGCCAATAAGCAGGCTACTTCCCTGGGCCATAGTGTGTCAGCCTATGTCTGCTGCCACCAGGGAGAAGGGACACCAAACATCCAGAGTGGGGCCCGCATGGGGCTCACTTGGGGAGCTCAGCCTCCATGGAGTGGATGGAGCAGAATGACTTTCCCTAATATGGCAAAGGGAACAAGCATCAAAATCCAGGAGGCACAGAGAACCCTTAAAATCAATAAAAATAGGTCCACACCCTGTCACCTAGTAGTAAAACTTACAAGTCTTAGTGACAAAGAGAAAATCCTGAAAGCAGCTCAGGACAAGTGGTCTATAACATACAATGGTAGACAGATTGGCAGCAGACCTATCCAAGGAGACCTGGCAGGCCAGAAAGGACTGGTATGATACATTCAGAGCACTAAATGAGAAAAATATGCAGCCAACAATAATATATCCAGCTAGATAATTATTGAAAATAGAAGTTGAGATAAAAAGCTTCCAGGACATGGGGCACCTGGGTGGCTCAGTGGGTTGAGCCTCTGCCTTCGGCTCAGGTCATGATCCCAGGGTCCTGGGATCGAGCCCCGCATCGGGCTCTCTGCTCAGTGGAGAGCCTGCTTCCTCCTCTATCTCTGCCTGCCTCTCTGCCTACTTGTGATCTCTGTCTGTCAAATAAATAAAGAAAATTAAAAAAAAAAAAGCTTCCAGGACAAACAAAAACTGAAAGAATTTGCAAACACCAAACCTGCCCTACAGGAAATATTGAAAGGGGTCCTCTAAGCAAAGAGAGAGCCTAAAAGTAGTAGACCAGAAAGGAACAGAGACAATATATAGTAACAGTCACCTTACAGGCAATACAATGGCACTAATTTCATATCTTTCAATAGCTACCCTGAATGTAAATGGGCTAAATGCCCCAATCAAAAGACATAAGGTATCAGAATGGATTAAAAAAAAAATAAGACCCATTCATATGCTGTCTATAAGGAACTCATTTTAGACCCAAAGACATCCCTGGATTTAAGGTGAGGGGGTGGAAAACAATTTTCCATGCTAATGGACATCAAAAGAAAGCTGGCGTGGCAATCCTTGTATCAGATAAATTAGATTTTAAGACAAAGACTGTAATAAAAGATGAGGAAGGACACTGTATCATATTCAAAGGGTCTGTCCAACAAGATCTAACAATTTTAAATATCTATGTCCCTAACATAGGAGTGGCCAACTATATAAACCAATTAATAACAAAATCAAGGAAACACATCGACAATAATACAATAATAGTAGGACACTTTAACACCCTCCTCACTGAAATGGACAGATCATCCAAGCACAAGACCAACAAGAAAATAAAGGCCTTAAATGACACACTGGACCAGATGGACGTCACAGATATATTCAGAAATTCCAACCCAAAGCAACAGAATACACATTCTTCTCTAGTGCACATGGAACTTTCTCCAGAATAGATCCCATCCTGGGTCACAAATCAGGTCTCAACTGGTACCAAAATATTGGGACCCTTCCCTGCATATTTTCAGACCACAATGGTCTGAAGCTAGAACTCAAATACATGGAGGTTAAAGAGCATCCTACTAAAGAATGAATGGGTCAACCAGGAAATTAAAGAAGAATTGAAAAAATTCATGGAAACAAATGAAAATGAAAACACAACTGTTCAAAATCTTTGGGACACAGCAAAGGCAGTCCTGAGAGGAAAATATATAGCCATACAAGCCTTTCTCAAGAAACAGGAAAGGTCTCAACTACACAACCTAACCCTACACCTAAAGGAGGTGAAGAAAGAACATCAAAGACAGCCTAAGCCCAGCAGAAGAGA